ACATGCATTTTAATGCCCTGTATTGTGCTGACCTGGACGGTTGGCTGCATATCTGCATATATTTGCATATGTATCTATTATGTTTCATTTGAATTCATAAATAACAAACATGGCTGTGGGTCTCCAGCAGGCAGGAATCATGTCTCATTTCTTTCAGGTATCTTCCCTCTCCTATTCAATTCCAGTTCTTGTTTACTCCCGGGCATCAATAGATATTCCACAAATAACTGCTGTGTGAGAGGGAGTGGATCTGACTCCATGTTTGTAAGAAGGAGGTCTTGGTCCACTCCTTCCACAAGAGTAGTAGGAGAATGTAAAAACCTGTCTATCAACCACTAGATGTGAGGTCCTTTGAGGAAGGTTTTAAAAATGCACTAGTTGGGCTGGGGATGTGGCTCAAGCGGTAACGCCCTCACCTGGCATGCACGGGGTGCTGGGTTCAATCCTCAGCACCACATAAAATAAAATAAAGATGTGTCCATTGGAAACTGAAAAATAAATATTAAAAAATTTAATATTTATTTTTATTAAAAATTTAATATTTATTAATATTCTCTCTCTTCTCTCTCTCTCAAAAAAAAAAATGCACTGGCCTTTACTGGAAAACGAGGCAGCAGGGATGACCACAAATAAGAACTTCTGGGGCAGTTGAGGGTTAAAGGATTCTTCCAGTTGATGGGGTTTCTCTCTAGACATAGAAAGACTTTTCTGCCTCTCTCCTTCCACCTTTTCTTCTTTCAAATTACCTTTGTTCTGCCAGGCATAGTGGTGCATACCTCTAATCCCAGTGGCTCAGGAGGCTGAGGCAGGAGGATCACAAGTTCAAAGCCAGTCTCAGCACAGTGAGGTGCTAAGCAAATCAGTGAGACTCTGTCTCTAAATAAAAATACAAAATAGGGCTGGGGATGTGGCTCTGTGGTTGAGTGCCCCACTTGTGAGTGGCCCTGAGTCCAATCCCTGTTATCCCACCCCCACACAAAATTACTTTTGTCCTAAGTGATCAGTGATTAATATCCAATTTGAAACTTTGGAAAATTCAAGAAGAGTATGAAAAGATGGTGATAAGCATCCTCCTTGATCCTGCCACAGAGGCCTGAGCTCCTTCTTTATCTGAACACACCAGGCAGGGTGTGGTCCAGTCCCTATTTCAACTGCCCCCATTTTTTTTCTGCCAAACAGCAGCAGTATAGCCATGAAGGGCTCCTGTTCCATGTTGGGGATCTTACTCATGGATTGGTGAGTTTGTGTTCTGACCCTGAGCCTTAAGCTTGCTGCAAATGCTGTGCTGTCCTTCTGAGAGCTGGTCTATGGCACTGGGGCCTGGGCTTTCAGAGGCTGGCAGTGCCAAGGGTGGTTGTGCTTGTGACAGTAGTGGGCAGCTGGAGATGTCATCTTGTGGTGTCTTTCTTCTTTGGGCTCAGGGTGCCAAGTTCTGTTGGTCTGGAGACCCGCAGCCAGTGAAGTGGCAGGAGACAGTCACCCACCACTCCTTGGGAGGCACAGAGCTGAAGCAGGTTTTAGCAAAAAGTCAGGCAGCTTGGGCGTCTCTTATTCCCCCCACAGACCTCCTGGTCTTTTTTACAGCCATAAGGAGCAATCTGCAGAAATGTGATCTCATACCTCAGTGGGGACACATACTTAGTCTTGTGAGATAGGGAAGAAAACGCTGTGTGACGGGAAGCATGTTTCCTCCCCACCCCCACTTCCCTGCTATCAGGGTGGATCCCAAGGAGGGTCTTTCTGAAGGGGGGTCAGTGTGAGGATGCGAACTGGTGACTCCGAGAGGGAGTTCTAGGGCTCCCAGGTGCAGAGTGGAGGATCCTGAACGGGGCAGGTACTGGAGGGAAGAGGCCGAACTCGGGAGAGCCAGGAGGATGGCGGTGCATCTGTGTGGTATGTGAGATTACACTTCCTGTCCAGCATCGCACTGAGTCGTTCTTGTTAGCTGCAAGCCGTTGCTGGGATCCTGCTTCAAAACAGAAGAGCATAGTGGCTGGAGGGGCCCAGCCATGGGGTTCTATATCAAAAGAGCACTGTGCTTGGGAGGAAGTGATTTAGGCCCTAGGGCACTTGCCACGCATGCCTGTTAATACCTGCACCTTACCCTGAAACTGGTGGCTGGGTGTTCTTCCCCCGACTCTGTACTGCAGGTGTCCCTCAGGCCTTCCTCGATTTGAGGACCCCAGGGCCAGGCACTGCTGCTTTGTTAAGCTGGCCTAACTTCCCAACGTCCCACGAGTTGCATTTGTTTGAGTTCTACTAATATTTATTCAGCACCCATCTCGCACCAGGCCCTGTGACAACACAACATGGGAGACAGAAAAATGCTTGTGACATAGGCCCTTGCCTGCTTGGAGCTCAGGGTAATAGATATTTGCTTTCCACTTGCAAGTGGAATGGAAGAGGTAACAGTAATGTGACAGCCTGAGGGAGGCTCCGGGAGAGAGGACACCAGAGCCTAGCCAAAGGAGGGGGGTAGACAAAAGGGTGCCTCTGACAGAAATCAGTGCCGACAAAGAATCTGTCTGGTACCTCAGGGTCCTGTGAATCACCCCAGGAGTGGGACAGGCAGAGAGCGGGAGGCAGATAAGAGATGGTAACTCATCCTGCAGGTGGCCATCCTTAAGGAGATGGGGTGGAGGTGGGAATGGACAAAGAGGTAAAAGTGTAACTCCCTGGTTGGAGGTCAATGAGTTTAATTTTTTAACATGGACTATACATTTGATTGGAAAATGAAATTCAGAATTAAAATTTTATATTTAGAAAAGGTGAAAAGAATAGCTGTCATTTTAAAAATAGAATCCAACAAAGTTTTGGCTGGAGGTTCAAGAATTTAAGAAAGGGGTGGGTGGTCACAAGAATATGGGCCCTAGTGAAGGGGGTGGGGTTTTAGCAGGGCAGTGGCAAGTGTGGACCAGATTTGCCATTTTAGACCAGTGATTCTGGCAATTGATTGGATGTTGGGCAGGAAAGAGGAAAGACCAGGGCCAGGGACCATTGAAAGGATTGAGAGATGGAGGTACCAGGTCTCTTTCTCTTTCCCTTGCCCTCATCAGACTTTCTGTTTTGGTGCCTGTCCTGGCCCACCTCAGTCTGACTCTGCAGTCGGACTTGACAGTTTTGTTGCCACAGATTAATGGTTTGCAGATGATGCATTTGCTTCCAGTACCTCTCAGGGCCATCTTCCTTTTAATCAGGATAATAGAATAACCCAAAGAATGGGGCTCGTATAGAGTTGAACATCAGTGGAGACTGGGATGGGAATTATTTTGTTCATCTGGGGGACAGATGTCTGCCTTTAAAAACAGAATTAAAAAGGGTTAATTCTGTTTTTGCACATGAGATAGAACTCAGACTCTGACAGTTCAAATCTTAGCCAGTTGTAGTCATAGGACAGCCTCAGACCTCTATGCCAGGGGCTACTGGGAAATGGGGGAGCTGGTGCTTGGGGTAAGACAACTTGCCTGGATTGGTCCTTAGGGAGGGCAGTGGGGGTGTGCCAGCAACCCCAGGCTGAGTTGTCCTGGAAGGCAGGGCTCCCATCTTGGTGGGCACTGGAAAGATGTAGCATCAAGGGGTTGTGACTCTGTTCTAGATAGAAATAAAACCACTGGAAGGAGGACACCAGCTGGCACTGGGCATACTGAGCTATAAGCCTCGCTTTTGAAAGCAACCACCAGTGCCCTAACTAGAAGGTGGACATCTGGACTGCTTTTAGGGACCCCCCCCAGGCACTGAAACACTGAGCCCTAGGACTCCTTGGCTGAGTCAAGAAGCAGACTATACCTCAGTGGCATGCCACTGTCCTGGACTCCCACAGACAGGTCATACTCTTGGGTCCACCCTCCTTGTCTCTCATTGGTGAGACACGTCTTTCTGAATGGTTATATATGGGACAGCATCAGGTTAAGGGCTGGAGCTGAACTGAGCCAGAGCCATGGGCAGGGGGTTGAGGGGGCAGTCAGGGATGCTGCCAGCCTTGGGTGAGACCATCCCAGAAGTCTTAATAGGGCTCTCACAGGAAAATGGAAAACTATCACTTGTGCATTGTTTTGTTTTTGTAGTCCTGGGGATTCAACCCAGGGCGCTCGACCACTGGGCCTCATCCCAAGCTCTTTTTTATTTTGAGACAGGGTCTCACTAAAGTTGAGGCTGGACTTGAACTTTGTGATCCTCCTGCCTTAGCCTCCCAAGTAGTTGGGAGTACAAGGCCCTGCACTTGTGGGTTTTAAAAATTTTGGTCTGGGGATATAGGTCAGTTGGTAGAGTGCTTGTCTTGCATGCACAAAGCCCTGGGTTCAATCCCCAGCACCAGTGTGTGTGTGTGTGTGTGTGTGTGTGTGTGTGTGTGTGTGTGTGTATGATTAATCTTTTGAAGAACTCAATGCCCAGGATTTTTGGAGTGGCAGCTTGCCCATTGTTGTTAGATATTAACAACTTTACATTCCTCTTTCAGGAGTGCTTTAGGACCTGTTATCCAGGTATTAGTTCTTCTCCTGAAATTCTGGGTGAAGTTGTTTTGAATCCACCATTTCATGGCCTGTATGGGTCTCAGGCTCTCTCACTTTCCTGGGGTGTAATATTTTTCAGGATATTTCTGTCTCTTGGACTACTTCAGAAAATCATTCACACTACCATCTGTTATGAGGTGTTGTGGGGGTCTCAGGAAGGGGTCTTATCCCTTCCAGCCTGGGGGTCTGCCAACCCCTGGGCTCCTTGCAGAAGCCTCCACATGGTGCTCCCTGACCATTTGGAGCAACTTCCTTGTTCTGAGACCTCTCCAGCCAGCACCCAGCAAAGGGTTTTGCCAGTTCCCCTCTTTATAATTTAATCCCAGTTGTAAAAATACAAATGTTTTCTTTTTATAGATGTATTTTGTTTTTAAAATGAAATGAATTTCAAGTTCATTTGGAAGAGTTTCTCAGCAGTCCATAAAATAAATTGGGTTGTGTCATGGTGGCAAGATGAGACACTGATGTGTGCTGTATTTGTGTTTCCAGTTTCCACCTGGATGCCTGAGGCTGTGTAGATGTGGCTGGCACCCCGGAGAGTGGAGCAGGGGGTGAAGACCCAGCACTGAGAGGAGAGAGCCTTGGATAGGCTTGGGCCAGCTTCCCAGTAAGTAGCTGGTGGCTTTTACAGGTGATGCCACTTTACACTTGGGTCCATAGAATGAGCACAAGCTTCCAGACACTCAGGTTGTTGCCCTGTACTGCCCCCCCCCCACCATCTTACCCAAGAACTACTATAGAATCTGTAGGACCTTAGAGGTTGCTAGTTGCTAGCCCCCTCCCCCCCCCCCATCTTGAGCAAGGGCAGGAGACCCTCTGCAGCACCTGCACCTGACAAGGCAGCTGTCCTGTGTTCCCAATATTGAGCTGCTCCTGCGGTTAGAAAGTTCTCTCTGCCACATCTGTAACAACTCTGGCTTCCTAATTTAGGCCCCTGAGACTCAAGGAAATCAGCCAATTCCCTTTCCTACAGGGTGGCACAACAGATGTTTGGGGATAACATGATAGAGTGGAGAATGAGGATCTGGGGTCAAAGATAGTCCTAACTGAATCCAGGACTTCTGTGACTCATTTTCTTGGGACAACAATATGTACATTGAGTCGTCCTGGGGACTAGATTAAATCATGAATAGGGAGCTGCCTGGTGCTGATATGTCATCAACTCATTCAACTCAATTCAGATTCAACTCAATTAAGTTGAAGGATTATACGTCTCAGTTAAAAGGCCACAGATCAACTACCATAAGTTAATGGAAGAGGTCACCAATAAGACTGTCCCCAGGCCAGACACCAGCCACAAGAGGGATCACCAGGCCATCTGCACTTCTGACTGACTTGGTTATAAGTTTGGGGGTTCCCATGACCCTTCTTCAGGTTCAGTGATTTACTAGAATGACTCTGAGAACCTGAAGTGCTGCACTTGTCATTGTAGTTCTGTCCTAAAAGAGCTATGACAAGAACAGCAAATGGAAGAGACACAGGGGCCTGGGTGGAGGTGGGACACACGGATCTCTCGTGCTCTCTCCCAGAACATCAGTGTGTTTACCCAACTAGGAAACTCCCCCAAGCCTCAGGGTCCAGAGATCTCTAGTTTTTTAACCAGGGGCCTTCATTACAGAAGCATGGTTGATGGACTCATTTGCCCTTTAATGGAACTGAGCTCCAGCCCTCTCCCTCCTGGGAGCCTGTGAGGTGGAGTGGAAGCTCCAACCCTCTAATCATGTGCTTGGTCTTTCCAGAGTAGTCCGACCTCCCTTGAAACTATCTGAGGGCCCTGGATGAGTCACCTTATTAGCATAAACTCAGGTTTGGGTGAAAAGTGGTCATTATGAATAGTAAAAGATATTTCTGCTATCTCTTGGACATTTAAAGAATTCTAAGGGTTTTGAGGTTCTGTGCCAGGACCTGGGCACAAAGACCAGATACTTTCTTTCTTCCATCACACTTGGCCCCACAGATGCTGGCCTCTGCTTATCTTCAGCATCCAGCTTATGAGCTCCTCTTCCTTGTGAGCTCCAGGTTGACATGTTCCCTTTGTCTGATCAGAAAACTAGGTATTCACATAGATCTTTTCCTGGATGTTTGTTCTTCCTTTTTGTTTAACATAGCTTAAGACTGGATTGGTTCTTTCTGCTAAAACCACATAATTATAGTTATTGAGTGTGCACCTGTTTAGAGTTGAATCACAAGCCACTTATTACTCAAGTTCTTAAAGCTGATTCTTGCCCCTAAGCGACACCAAATTAGAGCCAAGAGTTAATAACACTTGCTACAGACCAGGCCATTAACTCTGCTGAGCTTTACAACCATCTTTTGGGGGCAATTATTATAATCCCCATTTTATATATTGGGAAACCGAGGCACATAACAGGTTAACTAACCTAAGATCACACAGGTAATAAATGGCACAGCTGAGATTTGAACCCAGAAGAGTTCTTGTTCCAGAGTCTATGCCTTTAACCACTGAGCAACATGCACACAATTTTGATGTCCTTCACAGCATTGTGGGAGGGGAAGAGGGAGCACAAAAGGATGCCTCTGGTTCACAAAGCCAAAGGGTCTGTCCAGCTGGCTGTTGGCATGGTGATGGAATCAGGGCATCCACATCCTATGCCACTCCCATGGGCCCACCTCTGGATAAGCCCTGTAGGGCTGAGCTCCAAGAAGGGAAGGTGGCCAGGACATGTTGGTGTGGGCTCCTCTCCCTTAGCCCCATACTTATTAGTTCCTTGTGCTTCAGGGAGGGGGGAAACGGCCTCATGGAGCTGTTCCTGGAAAGGGGGTAGGATTCACCTTTCCTCTGGGTGGAAAGATTGAGCTAGGAACACTGAGTATCAGACAGAGCTGGCTCAAAACATTCCAGTCCCGGAGAAGCTGTGGGTTCAGGTGGCTCTGGAGCTGGTGGGCCTGTAGGCGTAGGAAACACAGGGAGCTCGTGACTCCATGCTCATCCGGTGCACTCATTGGGAAGTTGCTTGTTACTTAAAAAATATAAATAAATAAATAAATAAACAAACAAACAAACAAACAAATAAATAAATAAATAAAATTCCAAGATTCAGAGCTTTGAAAGTGACAAAGATGATTATTTGCCACGATGAGTCACTAAGCAGAGAGGTGTTGGAGTCAAGCTGGGTGATGCCTGCAGAGGAATTCTGGTCTGTAGTGCTGCCTGCCCAGGACAATCTGGTGGTGACTGCACATCTCCATGGCTCCAGTGCAGTCCTGCCACATTTGACCTTGCAGCTCTTTCTTACCCCAAGCTCCAGACTGTGTGGGAGCATGATGGAGGTAGAATATTCTATCTTTGCTACTGGGGAGTAACTAAAGGGACACTTTACCACTGAGCTACATCCCCAGCCCTATTTATTTTTTGTTTCGAGACAGGGTCTCACTAAGTTGGTTAGGGCCTCACTAAGTTGCTGAGGCTGTACTTGGAACTTTCAATCCTCCTGCCTCAGCCTCCCAAGCAGCTGGGATTACAGGTGTGTGCTACTGTACCCCGTGAGGTGAAGTACTCTTAAGTAGCCCTTTGCATACAGAATTGACTTGAGGCCACAGGACACCATAAGTTGCCTATGTGTGTTCTTTGCATAGGTTATTCTCTCCACTCCCTTATTTGGTGATGGACAAAATGAGACCCAGAGAGGGAAATGAGTGACAGAATTGGGGCAAGATTACAGGCCTCTGGCTTCTGGTCCAGAGCTAATTCCACCAGAAACATCTGGTTGTTCTTTCTCCATTTAGATGAGAGGAAAGAGTCTGGATTTAAATGTTACTAAGTACAACCCACAGTTGTTTTAGTAACCTGCCATATCTGTTTTGAAATCTCTCTTTAGACTTATTTTTTGGCTGCCATGCCCAAAAGATTCCTTCCACCACCATAGTCCCTCATCCCCATCTCTTGTCAAGTATCTCATTGACACAATTGGTAAAGGTAATGCCAGCCTGGGGGGGAGGTGAAAGGGCTTTCATGGGGAGCTGACTAATTAATGAAACAGATAAGATGAGAGGTCACAGTTTGATAGCCTTGCAGAAGCGTGTCATGATAACATATGGAGCACCCCTGCTGTACGAGGCAAGGTGGGCAAGGTGGTCGTTTGAGTAGCCTGGACAGCTCTGGGAAGTGACACATAGCATGAGTTTACAAACATGAGCCTTTATACCATCTCTTGTCAGGCTTGCTAGAAATGAGCAGCCCCTGGAGTGGATGTTACATTACATGTTACAATCATTAACATAGAGCCTGTAATAATTCACCCCTGACTGCTTATTAGAATTACCCAGGGAGCTTTTAAAAACCCTGATGTCCAGGTCACACTCAAGACTAATTATATTAGAATCTCTGGCATCAGTAGTTTTTAAAGTTCCCCTGGTGATTCCAATGTGCAACCAAGGCTGAGAACCACAGCTCCAGGTAAGGGCTCAGGTCATCATCCATCCAGCCTTTGAGGGACTCTGCCCATGTGCTTTCCCTTGAACTTGCTACCCACCTTTCCCTAAAGGAAGCATGCAAATAACAATACCAAAACATCTGGGTGTTCTCTGTTGATGGGATGGGCTCCCACTCTTCTCTCTGGGCTTACTTATAGCATCATCCTCCACCCACCTCTCCTGGAGACACTGCAAGGGATGAGGGTAAAGAGTCCTGGCAGAAGAGGGAAGAGAGGCCACAGGTAGCTCAGGGACAACAAGAATATGCCCTACTGACCATCAGCACGGCTTCCTTTGTAATGAATGAGCTGCTGGCTGGAATGAAGGTTAAGGCTGGGACACACAGGACTGCTGAAGCAAGGCTGGAGGTCAAGTGTAGATCAGGACTTGGAGGCCAGGAGGGTTCTCCCAGAGAAGAGGAGAACACTCCATCTCCACAAGGAGGAAGAGAAAGGGAGTGAGAGGTTACGGATGAGAACCTAGGATTTTAATCCCAGTTAATGTTCTTTGTATCTCACACATGTGTTTAAGAACTAACTATGGGTCAGTCAAGGTGCTTGCTTCCTTCTGCTGAGAAGGTAATCAGGCCTTGGGCAGAAGGCTAAAGCACTGTGGTGTTAAAATGGTCTGACCCAGACTGAAGGGCCAGTAGAGCTGACACACAGAGGGAGATCAGCTTAGCCAAAGTTGCACAGCTGGGAAGTGAAGGCTAGACCTGTAGCCTTATTCCTCAGAAGGGCTCCATTATAGCAATAAAAGGCACGTCCTAGTTCTTCATTCATGCATTTAAAAAAGTCCTTGAGTAGATAAAATACAGTGGTTGCCCTGTTCTCACTGCAGGGTATGTGGGACTCTGGGCACAACATGGCTCCCTTCAAATAGTATTTATTCTTTTTTCTTGCTGTATACTTAGTGGGGTTTGGGAGAGAATAAATTTTCCTTTAATAAAAATCACATACCTCTTTTAAACTTGGAAAGAGGATCTGATTCTGCATTAAGACACCTTTTACTAAAACAGTGATTCCTTCCCAGAAGGGAGAGCACCAAGCAAAGTGTCTCCCATCTTTTAGTGTTCTTTTGTGGATTGCCCCACCATAATTTTTAGGAGGCTTATAAAAAGGATTTACATTTATTTATTTTGTGTGTTGCTTTGGATCTAATCAGGCCTCCTACATACTGAGAAAATGCCCTACCACTGAGCTACACTCCACCCCCATAAGAAGCTTACATTTTAGATAAAATACTGAGTCCCAGTAAATAGCTTCTACGATGTGGGTATGCATTATAGAAATGTTCAAAAAGATTCGCAGGTCATGATTCCACTGGGAACTATCTACTTCAACTCCAGTGTACCCAGTGAAGCTGGGTCCATGTTTTCACTTGGCTCAATGCTGCATTAGTGCCCCCCTATCCATCAGCACACCTGGCAGGGTCGTGCCTTCTAAGTGCAGCTTACACCCCGCCAAGACTAGCTGCATTCCACTGTGAAGCCTACCAAACCCAACCCTCTGCCTTAGGGAGTGTGTGTGTCTCAATCGTAACTAACATCGTGCTTACCCCATCTCTTCTACAGGGTTCCAGGAGCAGATCACAGACCCAGCAGGAAAATGAGTGAAGAGACGGTCCCCGAGGCCACCTCCCCGCCGCCCCCGCAGGGGTCGCATTACTTTGACCGCTTCTCCGAGGAAGACCCCGAGTACATGCGCCTTCGCAACCGTGCGGCCGACCTGCGCCAGGACTTCAACCTGATGGAGCAGAAGAAGCGCGTCACCATGATCCTGCAGAGTCCGGTGAGTGGAATCTGACACACCCGGTCAGGGAGATGGAAAGGGAGGTGGGAAGGGGAGGGGAGGGGTGGGTTGATTCTCCAGGGGACCCAGTAGATCAGTCACTCCTTTTTCCGGTGCCCAGGGTTGTAGGAAGTTAGACCCTCTAAGCAGGACACGTGTGTATTTGATTCTCTCCCTGATCACTGGTATGTGGCCAAAGCTGAGTGTGTACGGGCAGTTTGGCTCAGAAAGTGGGAGACAGACAGGAGCCCTGCCGGGTGTCCTGTGACCCTTCGGAGCCTCAGTTTCCAGTTTTCCTTCCCCTCTCTACTGAGAACTGTAACCACGAACAGACAAATCCACATCACCAGGTGGCCAGCAGGGGGCACCACGCGAAGGCACCGCCATAGAATTCATCCTTGAGGCAGGTAGTGCCTGAGGACAGCTGGTCTAATGGATGACTGGGCAGAAGAGCAGAGTGGAGGGAGGCAAGGAGGAGTCTGGGAAAGCAGAGCATGGGGCTCCTTAGGAAACAGCCGTGGACACTGAGTGTTGGGGACTTCTGGATGGAGTGGAAACTCCAGGTGCTTGGCAAGATGGACACAGAAGCCTGTGCCCAGCTCTTCCTCAGTCCTAAGTGGGTTTCAGGGAGCCAGGCACCTATGTGGTCTGTAGGCCACCATGGTGAGGGAAGAACAGTGAATGCTCACACCCCACAGATGAGCATGGAGAGAGTGGATCTGAGGTCTTAGCAGAATTGTATGGTGAAGATAGCAGGTGCCAAGAGCATTGGCATGAGGAGTTCCTGGGGAGATCCCCAGAGTATGAATATAAGGGGTGGCAGAGTCAGACAGCACCAGACCTGGTTTCTGGGCCTCCTGCAGGAGATGAACTGGAGGAATTCTGCTTCTTTCTGTGATTTTGTAGAATTGCCAACCTCAAGTGTTTCCTGCTGCCACCTGGTGGGCAAGATGCCAAGTTCATGGCCTTGTTGTCTGAGAAGCTAGGCTTGGAATAGTGTATCAGAAGTGGAAGTGACCTCAGAGGTCATCAGATCCTTCAGCCCTTCCTTCTATTTATTATTATTATTAAGTATATGAGGACACTGAGATCCAGAAGAGCCATAGGCATAGCTAATGGAAATCAGAATCACTGCCCACAGGGCAAAGAGAACACGGAGTTCATTCCCAGCATCTCCTTGGTGCTCCCCACAGAGCAATCCGGGGAGACTTCCGAGGGCCACTGGAATTGCCCCTGGGACCCAGGAATCCCAAGCATGATCCTTGCTTGGCTGACCTAGGGGCTGGGAGTGGGTATTTGACAGAGCTCATCATTCAGTACCTGGGGCGAAAGGGCCCTCAGTCTCATATGTGAGAGACTCTGGGAGGACCAGCACCTTGGGGTCTGCTTCAGTCTTTCAGGGAGGAGCTGGAAGGCCTCATCCAGGAGCAGATGAAGAAGGGGAACAACTCCTCCAACATCTGGGCCCTGCGGCAGATCGCGGACTTCATGGCCAGCACCTCCCATGCAGTCTTCCCAACATCTTCCATGAGTACGTGGGTGTCTGGGGAGCTGCCAGGAGCAGAGGAGGAGGGGTGTGATGGGGAAGAGAGGAAGGAGCATGGAGAAGAGAAGCAGCTTGGTTGCCAGGCGACAGCACCAGCGTGCGATTGCATTAGCAGGCCTGGGGGAGATCAGCAGAAGCCAGGGAGGTGCCTGGCTCTGTTTTTGATATTGCTGCAATTAAGGACTCACAGAAGAATTATCCCTGATGACAGAAATGGGAGTGGTAGAGGTAACTTCAGGGGATGAGAGGCAGCCATCGAAGCCATTGTCTCTATGCTGCATTAGACAGGCCAACTGAACCCGATAGATGAACCAGAGGAGCCAGGGCTAAGCATGAACCCACCTTCCTGGGCTGTGTATGAAGCTCTGACCATGACCTTTAAAAACAAAACATCAAATATAGGATGATGGTTGACAGGAAAATAATCAAGAAAGATTATTGTACTGTGTTCTTGAAACCTGAAAATGATGACTATCAATATTTTGATGTATATCTTTTTACCTTTTCTCTTAGCATATAGTTTATGCAAGTAAAAATATAATCACAACTATATATATCATTATAATAATATATTCTAACTAATTTTTTACATAATAAAATATGGTTCTGGTTAAACACAGTGGTGCACTCCTGTAATCCCACCTACTCTGAAGGCTGAGGCAGGAGGATTGCAAGTTGGATGTCAGACTGGGCAATTTAGCAAGAACCTGTCTTAAAATAAAAAATTAAACTGAGGATGTAGCTCAGTGGTAGAGTGGTAGGGTGTGTTAGTAACTCATATGCACACAATTTGGTTCTGCAATGTAATTTTTTGGCAGATGTATGCTATTTAATAAATTTTCTGTTATTGGATTTTTAGATTATTTTCAGTGTTTTACTATTATAAAAAATACAGTAAACATCCTGATTAAAATAATCTTAGAATAGATACTTGACTATTTTCTCTTAAGTTATAAAATGTAGCTTTGCTGGATCAAAGCATATCCACGTTTTAAGACCTTTGTGCATATTGGCAAATTTTTTACTTTCTCCATTCTGGAGAAAGAAAGATAAAATCAACTTATTTTTCCAGTGGCAATGCGACAGAGTGCTCATTTCTTCACCCTGATCTGTAATATATCTTAGCATTAATTTCATCATTCTGATTTGACAGTGATAAATAGTACTTTGCATTTTAATATGCACTTATTTTATTACTATTGAGTAGATATATTATGCATTTTAATATATATTGGATGTGATTTTCTTTTTGTAGTAAGTTGCCTATTTGCATTCTTTGCTGATATTCCTATTAGCATATTTTTTCTTACAGAACCTGGAATCTTTATAATGAATTCTATTTCCCTGCTATCTACTAAATACATTGCAAGTTTTCCCAGTTTTCCTTTGCCTTTTAAATTCTTTCATGGTATTTTTCATCTCTAGAATTCTTTAATTTTCATGTGGTTGAATCCATTGCTGTTTTCCTTTGTGTATTCTGTTTTTGTTTGCATGCTTACAAAAACCTTCCCATGTTTTATCATCCCAGGGAACAAATGCCCTTAATTATTCACTTGTCATTTTTTTCTCAAACATGTGTTTATTCTTTAAAATGCCTTCAGAATTATTTTGTCAAGCTCTACCCTCTACGCCTCATCTACCTTAAACAATTCATTTTAGAATTTTTCCTGGGATTAGATGAATAGATTGATTTGGTAGAAAAATTATAAGTGTGTAATTTACATTAAAATATAATCTCCATGGGGAAAAATTGTATGTTTGGTTCTAGAATACTGTATTCTAGAATAGTGTCCTAGACTTAAAAATAGCATTGGGCACACAGGAGGCTCTTTAAAACTATTTGCATGAATTGATTAAATCTTTTCAGATATGAGGGGTATTTTCACCATATATTTAAGGGCTATTTTCATATGGTCCCTACTGATGTTAATCCCTGAAACTTTGTCACTTTGTCACTTTAAATGAATCTTTCCGTATTCATTTTTCTTTTTGGTTATAGCTCTCACTTAAGAAGGGAGATAGATGGGTAGATAGATAGATATTAATTATCTTGGGGTTTGTGTATTGAACATCACATATCTGCAAATAATGTATATTTTTGCCTTTATCATTCCAACACCTTCCCATGTTTTATCATCCCAGGGAACAAATGTACCCTTTGGCTTATTATTCCAGTTTTTTCATTTCATCCACTAGAACTTTCAGAACAATGTTAATAATAGATTAGAGAGTAATCATCCATGTCTTGTTTCTGACTTTAATGGAAATTCTTTTGCCACACAGTTTGAGGTCATTATTCTTTCTCATGCCGAGGAAATATATTTTTAATCTAATTCATTATAGGTCTTCTTCATAAGTGGTTGTCGCTGCATTTGAGGACATTTATTGATTTTTGTTTCCTTGATCAGTTGTTGTGATGAGTTATAGATTTCTGAATACTGAACTCTTTTCATTCCTGAAATAAATGATTCCTGGTCTTGATATATTCTTTTCAAAATACTTTGGATTGGATTTGATGAAATTTTATTCAGGATCTTTTGTATACGTCTTCACATGTGAGACTGCTCAACAGTTCACTTTTGGGGTAGTCTTAATCCAGTATTGGGATTCAGGCTGTGGTTTCCTAACACGATCCAGGGTGTGCTTACCTTTCTTTTTGCCCTGATGGATTTTGAATGCAATAGAAAGCCTTTGTTCCTTAAAGTTCATTACTCATTTATAAAGCCATCCAGATCTGAAAATATTTTGGAGATTATTTTGACACTCTCCCCTCAGTTTTATTTTTGCTGTTTATTGAGTAAATTTTTGTCATATATTTCATATAAAATTATCTACTTCTTGGATCTTTTCAAAATTACTGGTTGCTATTTTGACTTTATCTTTTGGTGGTGCTAGGGACTGAACTCAGGGCCTCAGACATGCTAAGCATGTTCTCAACCACTGAGCCACATTGCCAGTCTCCTTTCTTCTTATTCTAAGAGGTATCAGAGATTGTGTTTTCTCATTTCTAATTGATTGAATCCATGTTCTTTTAAAAATTTGTTAATATTGGATTTTATTGCATTATGTTTGGGAAACATGGCCTATTTAATTTCCGTATCAAGGATTTATTGAGATTTTTTCCCTGTGAGTGTGGCCTAATGTTTTCAAATGATGTATGGTTATAGGAGATCTCTAGGTCATGACCTTTAACCCATATTTCCATTTCCATTTGATTTTTTGTATAAAATGGAAGTTGTGTTGTATTTGATTTCTGTTAATTTCTCTTTGTATTTATGATAGTTTTTCCTTTGTATATCTTAATGAAATGTCCAAAGCACAATTATTCATTATAGCTGTAGTTTTATTATGGATTATACCTTTAATCCATATAAAATGACCTGCAAAATGGTTCTCTTTGCCCAAAAGAATATCGTTGTACTTTGATGTTAATGTTATGACCTCTGTTTATTTCTGTTTTTATTTGCCTGATGTATTTTGGATCTTCCTTTTATTTTTACCTGTTTTGTGTCACTTCAATGTTTTTAGCCTTTTTTTTTTTTTAAACCTCCTATAGAAGCATTGTCTTCTGGCTTTCTAAGGCAATAATAGAGAAACTTGAGACAGATTTTTTTTTTGTTGTTGTTGTTGTTGTTCCTTTGTAGCTACCCAAAAGTTTTCTTCTTTTTTTTAAAGATGTTTCTAGATTTTCCCCTCATCTATGTAGTTCATAAATGTTTTCTGTAAATATATAATTTTTATGGACTGTTTTGGTCTAAATTATAGTAAGGTCTTACAATTTGTATACATAAACCTTTATTTCAGTTTAGAAAATTTTTCTTCTATTATATCAATTCTAATTGTCTAAACACAGGCTCTCTGGCCTTGGTCTCTGGTTTTTGTCTCCCACGTCTGTCTGTCTATACTCCATCATTGTCTTTACATCTCTGTCTCTGCACTACTTTTGAGAGACAAATCGGGCTGACCAGTATTCCCATTGCCTCATCAATCAGCGTCTACTAGGGAGAAAGATGGATGCCTGAAAATACAATGAGTACATGTCCAGAGGTGGGTGGTTGAGAGAAGTTGTCAGTGTCATGAGTTATTCTCTGTGTAGCTCCATTTGTCTTAGATTTTTTTTTTTTCATTAGTGTGCCCTTCACTATTGTCTTTCAGGGAGGTCACTGAGTTTCCATCTGGCCCAGTTAGACCTGTGTATAAACATGGTGTTCAACCAGACTCACTTATGGAGCTGGTCAGAGTAAGAATCCTGTACATTAAGATTCTGAGAGCAGAGGTGTGGGAACTCTTGTAGAGCCCTGCTGTTCTCATCTCCTGCCCCTGGGTCCTGTGGGTAGAGGAATCCTCACAGTTGAAACTCCTCAGCGTCAGGGAAGGGAATTTTGTTTGAGACCAGACACAGATGATGTGACGGAGTGAATGTTTTCAGGCCTGTTTTGGCCTCTTGGCCACCCAAGAATTCCACAGTTCTTTGTAAGAGAGGATTGAAAGAACGGGGACATGAACCCTCTCTCCAGTAGGCCCACTTGCCTGGCTTTGCTTAAGACCTAGTGTCCTTCCCTTTTGCTGCTAGGGATGAAGCAAAGAGGTAGTTTCTTGTGTGGGAAACCCATCTACAGGAAGGGATCTAAGACTAGTCAATTTTGTATTAGAAATCCTTCACTTTGGAGTTTTGTCGTTGCTCTTGCTCATCTAACTGGGACTTAGAACACTGGTGTCCCTGGCAATGCTGCATTCAGTGGACACATGCCCCGGGGTGGGGGCATCTCATATGGTCGATACACAGGCCCTTTGTGGTGGTGAGGCCCACCCTCACATCTTCAGACCATCTCATTTTAACTAATGGCCAATATGTACGGGAAATACATCACATTGTAGTTGGGGCGGGTATTACAGATATGATAAAAGTTTCTAAAGAGCCTTTTAATCCATTAGAGTTTTAGTGGGGAGCTGGGAGAGGCAGCTTTGAGAGACTCTCAGGCAGACATCATTGTTAGCTAGAACCTTACTTATTGATTCTCTTATTGGTTCCTAGACACTGAGTCATCCAAATGCAGGGCATTCAGATGCCTTCTTCTGCCTCCCCGAGTGAGGCACTGTCATCAAGGTTAATGGAATGGACTGGACATCAACTCATAGACCCTGTTGGTGTTCTGAGGATGAGACTGTCAAACCTTCTTGGCCTGTTTCCAAGTCTCTTGCATCTTCTCCAGAAATTTCCCAGAAGGAACCATCACATAAAAAGAGTCTGTGTGTCCAGAGAGAAACAGATATGCCTCAAATCCATTGTTCAACCTTAACTTCAGGAGTTTATGACTCCTGAAAATGACTCAGGAAAGCCAAGGAATTTATTTCCCAACTGACTTGGCTTTCTAAATTACAAAAAAAAAAAAAAAAATTGTTATATGTTCTAGCTAAAATGGCATGATAATATCAGATCTAATGACTGGTAACTTCTTCATTAGCGCTAACTGATGAAATAGACCTTTATTTCCACTCAGAAATTTATTCTTGTTTTTTTTTTAAATTAATTAATTAATTTTAATTAGGTATATATGACATCAGAATAAATTTTGATTCATTGTACATAATTGCAGCACAACTTTTCATTTCTCTGGTTGTATATGATGTAGTGTCGCTCCATATGTGCATTCATACATGTATCTAGGGTAATGATGTCCATCTCATTCCACCATCTTTCCTGCCCCCATATCCCCCTCCCTCCCCTCTGCCCCATCAAACTTCATCCATTTTTTTCCAAGACCATTGGGTTATAGACTGAGGAGTGGGATAGCAGGGTCAAATGATGGTTTAATTCCAAGTTTACTAAGTAATTTTCATACTGCTTTCCAGATTAGTTGCACCAATTTGCAGTCCCACCAGCAATGTGTGAGGAGTGCGCCTTTTCCTCCACATCCTCACCAACATTTATTGTTGTCTGTATTCTTGATAACTGCCACTCTAATTGGTGTGAGATGAAATCTTAGAGTAGTTTTGATTTGCATTTCTCTAATTACTAGAGATGTTGAATATTTTCTCACATATTTGTCGATTGATTGTATAATCTTCTGAGAAGTGTCTGTTCAGCTCCTTAGCCCATTTATTGATTGGGTTGCTTGTTATTTTGGTGTTAAGTTTTTTGAGTTCTTTATATATCTTTATATATCTGATGTGTGTGTGGCAAAAATTTGCTCCCAGGATGTAGGCTCTTTCTTCACCACATTGATTATTTCTTTTGCTGAGAAGAAGCTTTTTAGTTTTTGAGTCCATTCCATTTGTTAATTCTTGATTTTATTTCTTGGGCTTTAGGAGTCTTGTTAAGGAAGTCAGGGCCTAATCTGATGAGATGAAGATTTGGGTATTCTTGGTTTTACTCGATGTCCATTCTTAGGGTTTATGGTAATCTTGGCATTCTGAGAACCCTTTATTCTGTGATCTGAGTGTTACCATTTTTTTTTTTTTTAAAATCAAAAGCAATGCCATGTTTAGTTAAATGAGCAGAGGACTTTATGGGGTATGAACACCTATTCTATGGACTTTCTCCCTCTGGATGAAGATTAAAGAATATTCATTGCCTAGGGATGTTTCTTGTATAGCTGTAAGAATTTGAAGAGGCTTAGTGCGGGAATAGGAGGGTTGAGCTGATGGGAGCTCCTGACCCTGAGAGCTGTCCTATCCCTACTGCTGTCCCTTGCAGACTTTTCCATGATGACGCCCATCAATGACCTCCACACTACTGACTCCCTGAACCTGGCCAAGGGGGAGCGGCGCATGCGCTGCAAGATCAGCAGTGTCTACCGACTCCTAGACCTCTATGGCTGGGCCCAGCTGAGCGACACCTATGTTACGGTGAGAAAAGCACCTGGAGCAGGGTGGGACATTGCATGTAGCCCCCACAAGAGCCAAAAGGAAAACTCTGGTCACTAAAATAGATAACCTACCCAGTGGACACTTTGGGTGGGGACCAGGATCACCTGGACCCTACTTCTGAGGCTGTTCTTGAACATGTGAGATTCCTCTTCTCGCTGTGGTTCCCCAGCTCCATGGACAGCTGAGTCCTCTTCATCTCTTAATGGTTGGGGGAGAGGCAAGAGTTCAGTAAAGTGGATTCAGGAAGAAAGAGATTCAAGTGTCCTTGGAAATGTCCCATTTCCCTATTTGCCCCTAAAAATGTGTGTTTTTCCTGCAGCTGAGAGTCAGCAAGGAGCAGGACCACTTCCTGATTAGCCCCAAGGGAGTTTCCTGCAGTGAAGTCACAGCGTCCAGCCTGGTGAGGACCCTTGGCATCTGGAGGACTCTTCCACAGCAGGGGGGAGGAGGGAGAAGGGATGAGCCGGAGTCCTCCAAGTGGAGAAATGGGAGGATGGGAGGGGGGCAGACACATTGGAATGAGAAGCTCAGAAACTCGAGACCTAACTGATGCTGGGGCTCTTAGAGGTTGCTTCTGGGTCCCTCCCAGGCTGCTCCTTTTAGGTGGGATGGGAGGAGGCATCCAGAAGGTGGTACAGGCCAGGAAAGATTTCTGGGTGGAAGGGAGAGAGCAGTAGAAAGGACTGTCTTGAAAGCAGAAGCGCCCAATGCTTCTCAGAGACACGGGCTACCATTCCTTGCAGCTGGGAGGGGAGGACACCACCTGGGCGCTTGAGTCATGTCCAACTATGGAGTCCAGGTACTAGAACAAAAGTCCAGGCTGACAGAACCACTGAACATTCAGACAGAGCAGGACCTCAAGGTTGGCCAAGGCCATGTTATACGCAGAAAAGGACACTGGTGCTCACAGAGGGTCCGTGACCCAAGGAGGTGACGGCCAGGTGAGAACTGGGATCACAGAGACAGGAGCAACACAGGCTGTTTTTAAAGGCTTTATTGTCTGGTTGGGGAAGACAAGCGAGGTAGTCACTGATGACAGCTCAGAGTGTAGAGTATTCCGGGAGAGCTTTGGGAGCCCAGGGAGGGGCACCAAGCTCTGCCAACAGCCTCAGGAGGTGGAGGCATGGAGGGAAGAGGCTTCTAATTGAAACAGTGGTGCAGAAGGGAGTCCTGGTGAGTCCACAGGAGAGGGCTGGCAGAGGTGTCCTGACCTTGGCAAGAGCGCAGCATGCTCCAGGCTCTGATGTTCATGGGTCCCGTTGTACGGGAGAACAGGCAGGTGGCGAGTCTGGTGTAGATGTTCAGAATCTAGAGGTGAGGCTGGAAACGGGGTGGGGACCAGATGATAAGAAGCCTGAAAGGACTTGTTACAGAATTTTGGCTTTATTTTGCTGGAATTTCAGAGCTACTGATGTACTATAAGCACTTAGAGTACTCAGCACACATCTGAGCAAGCAGGGAACTCGCCTGAAGGAAGCCAGAAGTTATCACTGGACACTCAGGTTCCCAGTGCCTGAGGGGGAGAGTTGCTGCCACCTCAAAGTGTGAAAGTCATGTTCATTTTGTAAAACTCACTTAACGAAGTGTACTGAAGTACTGTGAGTGGTACAATCAGGTTTCCATTGTGTAAAGATCACTGACCATGATGTGGAGGCCAGCTGATATCAGGACAACTGGTTAGTGCTGTTACAGTAAGCTGGGCAGAACATTTTGGTCCTGTGGGCTTTTGGGGCCTGGCTATCAGCTGGATTGAGATTTGAGTTTGAGGAGCTGGTGGGACACTCAGGAGGACAAGTCATTTGACATCTTATTATTCTAAGTTTAGAAGAGACCTAATCTTGAGATAGAGGCTTGAGAGTCATGAGCATGTGTTACTCAGGGAGTATGTGAAGTCTTAGGGCTGCCATGTATGCTTGTACGGTTTGTGTATTGCACAAGGGAGCGTGGCTGGCAAGGAAGATGGGAGAGGGTGAAATTCAGCCTGTGTGTCACTCACTAATGCATCCAGGCGCTTGACTTCTTCAAATTAGCATAGAAGCAACATCCATGTGCCAAGCCCTGCACCCCTGGGGCTACCCTCAGAGGGAATATTTGTTTATTCTTTTGTGCAAAGGCACCTCATGGGTTGGTGGTTGTCTTATTAGCTGTGGAGATTCTTGAGTGATCACAGGTCACACATCCAAGGACGAGGCAAGAAACACATGAACTCAAAGAGAGGCCAGCCCAGAGTGGGAATTCTGAACTCAGCACACATCGGAGCAAGCAGGGAACTAGGATGAAGGAAACCAGAAGTTATCACAGGACACTCAGGTTCAAAGTGCCTGAGGGGGAGAGTTGCTGCTACTTCCAAGTGTGGAAGTCACATTCATTTTGTAAAATTCACTTGAAGAAGAATTTTGTAAGAGGGGATTTACTGGACATCTTACTGATGCTTCTGCTTAAGCAGATGATGTCAGTAGCCTGTCCCTTCCCCCACACCAGGGTCTGTCTCCTTCCTTTAGTCCCCTCTGCTGGGGCTTTCAGGGATGGAGATGCAGGCAGTTTATAGGACTGCCTTGTAGGCTACACTGAAGTTGGCTCCGCTGCTTCAGCTTGAAAAGCCCAAGTTATACTTTTTAGAAGCTCTAATCTAGCTCGGTAATGTCCAGGGGACATCTGTAATCAGTAAGTAGATTAACTACCAGCAAGAGGGAAATTGCACTGGGGAACAGGCGTGTTTTCAGCTCAAGTGTTAGGAGGACCTCTTTAAGGATTTGGGTTGGTGTTGGCTGATGGGGATGTGGCCTCGGAGCGGAGCGTGTGCTGTAGGGTTGCAGCAATTCAAAGATTGGATGTTTTCCCAGTTGCTATCCAGGGGGCCCCTGGCTTGGAGTGAGGCTTTAGCTCTTTGGTAAAGAAGCAGCAGTTCCTCCCGTGAGCCAGGAGAGGGGGATGTTGGCCGATTTTGTACTTGCACTGTGTTGTCTGAGTAAGTCTGTTTATATATGCTTAAGGAGTGGTCATTTGTCTTGTTGTGTCAGTTACAAAGTGACCTTCTCTGATGTTGGCGTTTTTGTGAAATTATCTAAGTAAGGAACACCATGGCCAGCCACAGCTTGTTCTCTCCCTCTTGTTTCCTCATGCAAGAGATTGGACACATACACACACACACACACACACAAAAAAAAAAAAAAAAAAAAAAAAAAAAACAACCATGTGAGTTTTAGAGTCAAAAGTAGATTATAAAGCCAGTGACTTCTTTCTACTCCTTTTTAAACTCTGCCTTCTGGGTAGTTGGTAAATGGGTGTTCAGTATAATAGTCTCTTTACCTTTGTGTATGGTTTTTAAATTTAAAAATAAAAAGACTCAATTTAGACATGATTTCCTCTGGGGAGACTTCTGATCCTCCTGTTTTGCTGGGATTAGACTCCTTCTACCTAGTTCTAGAGAATTCTGTGAATGACTAACTTCTTGTAACTCAAAGTGGGGTCCGTGACCCACAGCATGGGTATCACTTAGGAAGGTGTTAGAAATGCAGAATTTGCATTTTGACAGGGGATTCACATGCACAGAAAAGTCTAAGGACCTCTGTTCTAGCATTTCCCCTGCTGAATTATATCATCTTGTGATCCCTTAAGATTGTTTACTCTCTGAGGGCAGGACTTGGGTCCTTGTCCTTCAACACCAAGCTCAGCCATTGCTCCTGGGGTCTGGAATAGGGAATAGAGAGGTTGGTGAGTGCAGGGCTCACCTTCTGGGGCAGGAGGAAAGGCCCTGACGTGCTGTTACTCTGAGACTCTTCTCTGGCACAGATCAAGGTGAACATCCTGGGAGAGGTGGTGGAGAAGGGCAGCAGCTGCTTCCCAGTGGACACCTCGGGCTTCTGTCTGCACTCGGCCATCTATGCAGCCAGGCCTGATGTTCGGTGCGTCATCCACCTGCATACGCCTGCCACAGCAGCGGTGAGTGGTGCTTTCCTGGCACTCTGAGGTCCTCATCTACTGTCACCTCCCTGCACAGCAGCCAGACCCAGGGCACCTGCTTCTGAAAGATTATCCCGGAGGCAAGACATAAGCTGTCTAAGGTAGTAGCAATCTCATCATCTAAAACAGTTCTAGAAAGATCTGGAACTCAGGCCAAGGTGAGGAGAGAATCCAGCTTCGGAACCATCATTCTGTCCCTATTTCTAACTGCCAAAGTCCTGGTATAAGGTGAAGATGTGGAATGTTCATTCCATGGCATCCTCCACTCTACTACGTGCATGAGCCAGGACCATGTACCCCAGGGCTGTCTCTCCCGACTTTCTTCTCAGGTCAGTCTTGTGAGGCCTGGGGCTGCACCCGTCCCCGCACAGCTGAGGCTCTGGGAGGAGATATCTTGACAGAGGATAGATGAGAACCTAGACTGTCCCCACTTTATCATAGCTTGGCGTAGCTGAGAGTTGGGGGCAGGTGCAACCCATCTTAGGGAGAATAGGAAGAATAACCTCAAGAGCAAGTTGCCCTCAAGGGCCTCTGGTCATTTGTCCATATGGATCCAAGAAACTGTGACGTCACTTGGAGAGAGAGTAGAAAACCAGTTGCTTCAAGCTTCACCCCATCCTACTGACCTCCAGAGGACCAAGCATTCACCAAGAAGGAGCAGACTTGTGGCCGGCCTTTTCTCAGTGAAGCACACTGGTTATGGGCAGTCAGACCTCCCAGAATCTGGACTAAGACTTGATGATGGAGTTGTGCCAAGCATGTGTGTCTGCAGAGCCCAAGGCAGACTCACGGAGTAGAGTGAGGGTTCCCTCCATGCTCCTTGCTCTTCATGAGAGGTGGGAGTCAGGGTCACAACCTGTGCTTTACCACTGGTTCCTGGCACCACTTCTGCCCCAGAGCCATAAAATGGTTTCTCATTGGTCTTCCTTGCAGAGACGTGTCGGTTTCTGCACTGAAACCAAGGCTGAGTGTTTTCTCCACCCCATCCCGGGGATCTTGAGCCTGTTCCACCTGTACAAACTCCCATCCCTCCTGCCTGGAGTCATAGGACCACAGCCAGGCTGGGGCAGGACAGCAGTAGCTCTCTTGAATCATTGTACCCAGCATTTCTAACAGCTGGAGTATTGGTGTAAAAACTGACATTAGAGCCAGAAGAATGAGAGCAGATCCCAGCCGGTGGAGGAGGAGACCCAGGCCTTTCTCCATAGCTGCTCCCCTGACCCTGCCTGCCCCAGAGTAAAACTGGACTGTGCTGGGCTGTGCTGTGGAAAAGGCCAGTGGAACTGGGGGCAGCAGGTGCTAGCCATTCCATTGTCTCCCTACAGGTCTCAGCCATGAAGTGTGGCCTCCTGCCTGTCTCCCACAATGCCCTGCTGGTGGGGGACATGGCCTATTATGACTTCAACGGGGAAATGGAGCAGGAAGCTGATCGCATCAACCTGCAGAAGTGCCTTGGCCCCACCTGCAAGGTTTGCTCAGCTCTTCTGGGAAGGTGCTCTGGAGTGGCATTGTCAAAACCGACATCACGAAAGTGACATGTATTCATTGGAGAATGTTTAGAGGTTGCAGATAATTTTTTTTTTTCTAGACAGAAAAAGAAAAACCTATCACACTACTCAGATTTTGGTGTACACCCCAAGTGTTCTCATATATACCTACAAAATTGGGATCATAAAATATGTTCTCTTTTTTGCCCTTAGCAAAATATAGTATTATCATTAAACATTTTCTGTCGCTATTTTAAATTATTAAATTATGCCTTATGTGAATAGCCATTAAGCGGAACAGTCCTCTAGGGTAGGACATCAGAAGGCTTGTCTTCACCCTCTCAAATTTTCTCTTCATATAAACAACATTGGGATCAAAATCCTTTTGACTAAATCTTCTTATGCTTGAGATAATTTCCTTAGGACAAATTTCTAGGGATGCACATTTTATAACTCTTGCTTCATATTGATCAGTTGCCTCCCCCTGACAACTCTTCTCTCCTTCCCCATGTCTAATATAGAGGATGTGATTTCCCTGCAGTCTCCCCAAACTTGAGTGTTATCACATTCATTCATTCACTCATTCATTCATTCATTATCAATCTGCTGGAGAAAAGTGGAACACCGTTATTGCTTGGGTGAAGTCTAAAGCCCTAACATATAACAGCACACACTTGAGCTTGGAAACAGCCTGGGTTGGTGGTTGCTTGCCACCATCCTGACAAGGCACTCACTGTCTGTTTCCTGCCTCCCTGCCTCCCTGTCTCTAACTCAGGTGAGAAGTCCTACCTCTCTCTCCCAACATCCTCCAAAGTATCATTAGCAGTGCCAGGACAGGGATGAGATCTTTACACTTTAAAGTGCTACAAGAAATTGAGAGAGGGGGTGTTCACTGTTTGCAGAGTCTTTTGTGGGCCAGAATCATTGTCTCCATCTCTCTGGACTTGAGAGAAAGGGTCTGCAGCTGTTTTAAGCAAGAGAGGGTGTGCTGTAGAGAGCCTCGAGGCCTCAGCCCAGGTCTGCAAGGACAGAACCAACCCATGGACCTGTATCTCAGCTCCCATGTGGGCCCTGTTTGGCTTCAGAGAGTTCTCAAGGGAAAAACCAACCAAGTAAACTTTCTGGCAGGGAAGATAGGCTTTGCCCTTGGGGATGGGTACTCTTGGTGTAAATTCATTTCTGTCTCCTCCTCTATCCACCTGCTCCCAGCTGAGTCTGAAAAATTGGACCAATAGTGAGAACCTCAGGGTTCAAGTTCATATTTTTGCCTCTAATTAGCTGGAAGACTTTCTGTTTCTTAAGATTTCTATTTCCACATCTATAAAATCAATTTGGGAGACCAGTGTAGCCTCTTTCACAGAACTGTGGAATCCTGGAGCTGCCAGGGCCTCACTGAGTTTATGGAGTGAAAACCTGAGGCCCAGAGAGCAGATGCCACTTACCTGTGTTTGCAGAGCCACCTCAAAGAACTGTCCTCTTGGTTCTGGTCCTAAGTCAACTAATTCACAGGAACAAGAGATGCTTTTGAGGTTGAACCCTTGTATTAGACATCAAAAAATTCATTTATTTACACACACACACACACACACACAAACACACATACATACACACAAAGTTTTTCTGATTTCTGAGTTCTCTGACACCTAAAAATCTAGGCATTGTCCCCCCAAATTTAAGTACCCTGAGTTTAATCCCCAGTACCTCCCCCCAAAAAAACCTTTTCAATTTCAATTTCAATGCAAGGTGGCATTGGGATGCTTGATTAGGGAGAATGAATAAGGAGTTGGGGAGGAGCTCTGGGAAGGGCTATAGAAAGTGCTCTAAATAAAATAAAAAATCTCTCCCTCTTAAGTTCTGAAAGCTTGAGGTTTAATTGGCTTTTTCCTCCTCCACAGATCCTGGTGCTAAGAAACCATGGCATGGTCGCTCTAGGTGACACCGTAGAGGAGGCATTTTATAAGATCTTCCACCTGCAGGCTGCCTGTGAGATACAGGTGAGCGCATCCCTCTGGGATGCAGTTGGGTCTGATGGGTGCCTGTGGGTGAGGGCAGTGGCCCTGCTGGCTGTGAGTTGGGGAGTCCTTTACACCTGGCCTTGTGACACTCTTGCCTGATTTCTCATCATGGCATCACTTCACACTTCTGAAAATTCACATTTAGAGTCAGTTCTGTGAGTTGGCAAAACCGATCACCATTGTCTGGCCACCCAGCTTTTGGGGGTCAAGCCCAGGACAGGGAGCTGTTTGGACCCTTCAGCTAGAAGAGGAAGAGACTGTCACCATGAGTATGCCATGCTCACATGTTACCTGGGTGCACCTGCGGCACCTAGCTGTGCCCAGTGTGCAGGGTTGTTTTGGTGTCCTGTTTGCCCCCTCCGGCTAGCCCAGCAGAGCAGCGCTCAGTCGAAGGCTGCTGCCTCTCTCTGAGGCATTACTCTGGGAGGAAGGAGATCAGTCCAGAAGAATCCAGAATAATCACTAGTGGGGCCCTATCAATAGTTTTTAGAAGACTATCTTTTCTTTGAAAAGAAAGCTGTGAAGCTGGTGATAAGGAGGTTTTATAGGAAATGGTGTGAGACCACCTCCCTACCCCCCAACAGCCAGAACCAGAGACCCAGGGGAGGTGGGCAGAGCCCGGTGGTGCCTCCCTGGTGTGGCATCCTTCCCCTAACCAAGGATACTGGCCCTGAGTTCTGACTGTTGGCTGGTGTCAGAACCAACAGAACCTCACTAGAAAGGGAAGCCGCTGGCCCTTCCCCACACCTGAACACTCAAGGGCTCCCCGTCTTGCCTCGGAGAAGAAAGAGGCTTCACCTGAGAAAATAGCTCACGGAAACTCCTCATCCTCACAAAGACAGCTCAGCCCTAAAAATGGACGGAGACAGATGCCTGTGAGTCCCGCCCCCTGCACAGTGAAGTATGTGTCTTCCAGGCCCTGGACCCTGGAAGTGGCCACTGGGCAACTTCAGCAAAAGCAGAGTGGTCATGTGTGATCAAAGGGCAGTGCTGCTGGCCACCCTCCCTGACAGCCCCCCATGGCGGCTGTCACTTTCTGTTCAAGACTGGTTTGATGTGACCTTGTGAAAGTACCTTAGGCAGTGTGGCTAGCAACCCCCAGAGAAGCTCCAGGGGCTTTTCCCCAGCTGTTGGGGCAGAGAGGCTTCTAAAGCATGGAGCCAGAAGAAGTGGAAGAAACCCAGGGATGATGAGAGCAGAAGGTGGTGGATTAGGACGCGGGAAAGCACCGGTAGCAGCGATCTGCTACGGGGATTGTACTGGGGTCATGTGAGGTAGAGGGGGCAGTGCTGAAGCTCTGCTTCCACCCTGGGCCTTGTTTTCTCCCTCAGTCACATTGGTAAACAAGCAGACGTGGCTGTGGTCATGTTTATAGTTAAAGGCTGAGTGCCTGTTCAGCTCTCCTGGGAACTCTTTACTCCCCATCAGTTTGGGGTTCCAGAAAACTGGGTCATCCCTAGCTGAGAGAGGCAGTTCCCTGCTCTGCTGACAGGCAGATGGGAAGATGCACAGGCAGTTCTTCTCCATCTGCTACCCGTCACCATGGAAACTAGTGGAGGAAGAGGGAGGTGGGAGGAGGCAGCCCTTGCAAGGTTATGGGCCATTCTTTCCCTCCCTCCCTCCTCCATTAATGACCAGTCTGAGGGGATGTTGCATCTCAGAGTTCATTTATCAGCAACATTCATGTGGCACTCCTTAGGGACCAGGGGCTATTCTAAGTGCTTTATAATCATTGCCTTAAAGATTCCTCACAAGGTAGGCATTGCTGTTTCATTGAACAGATGAGAAAACCGAGGCACAAAGATGACAAATAGTGCCCAAAGTCACACGATAAGGAAGTGACAGGGATTCAAACCCAGGCAACCTGGCACCCAACTCTGTGCCCTTAAATACTACCCTGTATTTCCTTTCCAGGGAAGTAAGGGTCAGTGGGAACTGTCACATGGGCATATGGGTGTGTGTCTTGGGTGAAAAGAGTGTGGAATATGTTCTTACTTCTGGCTCTTCCCAGGGAGATGGGGTTCACCTGGTAAACCTACCTGGCCGAGCTTCAAGAAGTAGCACAGGGTCCGCAGTTAACCCTGGAATGTCACACACTCTCAGGCTGTCCAGACCCTCATGGATTTATAGGCTTGCGTTTATTTATCATCAGGATAAATGGATCCTTTCATTTTCAGTAAAAAATATAAGTCACAAAATGCCAGCACACTGCAAGTTTATGTGCTTAGGGCAGCTCCCCTGTAGTAAACAGGCTTACGTGTGGTATCCAGTCTTCCTCAAGATGTAGATGCATTTATTAATGGGTAGCATGGGACACTGACTCACTAGTGAGACTACTCAGAAGCCACTCTCCATCTCTGTAACCACTGATCCATCCAAATCCTGACCAGCTATATCTGAGTGGTAGGTATGTGGGAGTCTATAGAATATAACAGTCATATAAGCATGGAATTGGAAAATAAGTAAGTAAATGTGTTTTTATAGGATTATTCTAAAACTGCCTGCTTTATACACATACCTCTTCTCTCAGTACTCCACATCCATGACCTGCAACCACCTGCATCATCCCCTCCCCATAGAGCTTTGACGGTGGGACAAACCCTACAAGTCCATGGATGAAACTGTCTAGCCCCATGCACCGGACCTGGCCATGTAGTGATACTTCACCTGTCTTCTTTTTTGGGATTTCATTGTCTGGCTAATCCTATCATGGAGGATGCATTCTTTATTTAGACCTGTTAACTCTTCCCATCAGGTTACACTTTAGACCAATTTTCACTGGTCTAAAAGCTATGCTATTTTTTTTCAAGTGACTGGATGCGCGCGCGCACACACACACAGAGAGAGAGAGAGAGAGAGAGAGACAGACAGAGACAGAGACAGAGAAAGTGTTTAAATACAGAAAAAAATAAAGAGAATAACAATAGATATCCATCACTCAGATTGTACTAGGGTCTGAATCCAGAGGCACAGCACTGTCCCAAGGAATGACATCCCCAGCCCTTTTGACTTTTTAAGACAGGGTCTAGCTAGGTTGCTGAGCCTGGCTTTGAACTTGTGATCTTCCTGCCTCAGCCCTCCAAGTTACTAGGATTATAGGCATGCACCACTGCACCTGGAAGATTTAACAAATATATTAATAACTTTTTTGATTCAAATATTTAACTCTTGAAGAAATAAATTATTACAGACAAGAATTGAAGTTCCCTTTATAGCCATTTCCAATCTTATCTTGCCTCCTCAGAAATAATCACAATTCTAAGTTGGTCTGTATCCCAGGTAAATTTTCAGTTCCCTGTATTATTTTATTCCTAAGGTTTAACACTTGCTATTTTTTTTGCTTCTTCTCTGCGGTCTCTAAAAACTGAAATTAGCAAAGTAATTACTAATATCTCATTCCCCGGAAATAGTTGCATGTCCGATGAGTTTTGGGTGGCTTTTCCTCAGTTTCCCGGATATTTCTAGTTCTAAGTTCACCTCCGTGGCCCTCAATGTCCTATGTCATGCAGAAGCATAGGCAAGTGTGGGGGCCCCTGTATGCACATGGGTTGAGGGTTCTTTGCTTCTGCTGCAGGTGTCAGCTCTGTCCAGCGCTGGGGGAGTGGAGAACCTCATCCTCCTGGAGCAGGAGAAGCACCGGCCCCACGAGGTCGGCTCTGTGCAGTGGGCTGGGAGTACTTTTGGGCCCATGCAGAAGAGCCGGCTGGGGGAGCACGAGTTTGAAGCCCTCATGAGGATGCTGGACAACCTGGTGAGTCCCCTGCCATTGCCCTTCCAGGCTAGTGCATGGAACCTTCACCTCTGGAACCAGACAGTGCAAGGCATGAGGTGGCACAGAAACTGCCAACATCACGATCAAGTCATCGAGGGCTTCACTGATCGGCAGTTTAACTTGGCATGTGTGGCCCTTCTAAAAATAGTTGAGTTTTCTTCAGTGATGGCTTTTGCCACTCCCTACTAAGGGCTGTGGATGTCATATCTGCATAGTACTATAAGAAATAGTAATCCAGCAAAAATCAGAGCACGTCTTCTTACAGTCAGAGCTGCTGTCATATTGGGGCGTAGTTCACCCCTCTTCAGTAGTTAGTCCTGCCTGTCTAATCTTATGACTTCAATGCAGAAAGCACACAATATTATTAATTTCCTTATCCTTTATAAGAATATTCTGTGGCAGTGATGAATCAATCACGTAAGGAATTAAACTGGTATGTGTCTAGAAGTGGTCTGCTTCGTTAAAGGATACCAAAAAAATTTTAGACATTCTTCCTTCTTCTAGGGGCTAACAATTTAGTTGGTGAACAGGAGAAAATTTAAGAACAAGAGGAAAGCACTTAAAATGAGGGGTTAAATGCTGCAGGAGACAATAACCTCTTCGATTGCTCAGAGTTGGAAAAGATGAAATCTGTCCTCCTAGCACTTCCATCTGGTTCATTTTCCCTGATCCCTCTGCTACCTCCTCAGGCCCCCTTTATCACATCAAGACCATTGTGATAATTAAATCTCTTCTTCTTGCCTTCATTTCCTCCAAGTCATCTTTACCTTATTACCAGATTGATCAAGAGGGTCACTTTGTAATGATGAAAGGTCCAGTCCACAATGGAAATGCAGTTCTTTCTGCCATTTGTGCACTGAGGAATCTCCATCTGAATAAAGCATCAGGACTAGATGGTTTTGTACATGAATTCTTTCAAACCTTTTGGAAACGGACGATTCTCATGCTATTTAAATGGTGTCAAAGAAGAGTGAAAGGAGGATACTGTTTTAGTCAACTTTTTCACTGCTGTGGCTAAAAGACCTGACAAGAACAATTATAGGAGGAAAAGTATGTTTGGGCGGCTCATGATTTCAGAGGTCTTTGATCATAGATGGCCGACTAGATTTCTAAGGGCTTGAAGTAAAGTAGAACATCATGGCAGAAAAATATGGCAGAGGAAAATGGCTCAGGATATGGCCAGGAAGCAGAGAGACTCCACTCACCAGATACAAAATATATGCCCCAAAGGCATGGGGTTAAGGCATGGGTTAGGGCTCCTATAACCCAATCATTTCACCTCTAAGCCTTTTTGCATTTCTCATACATGAGCTTTTGGAGGACACCTAATATTCATAAGAGATACTAATCCATAACAATTACATTCAGACTCATTTACTTTGAATATGGATGAAAAATATTGCCTGAAAACTAGCAAGTAGTATGGAACATAATTTAGAATAATAATACCCATTAACTAAGTCAGGGCTGATTCCCAGAATTCAAGCATGGTTGAATATTATAAGACTTTAAATATATTTCCCAATATCAAAGGGCCAAAGGATGAAACCTTTTTGAAGATTTTAATAAATATTAAAAAATGGATAAAAATTTAATATCAATTTATAAAAATATTATCTACCAGTTAGAACTGGAAGATGCTTATTTAACATGATTAAAATGATTTTTCTCAAAACAAGAGCCAATATTATGGTAAAACCATAGAAGTATTCCAAGGAACTTTGAAATAAACAATGATTCCCACTTTTAGCACAATTACTTAATATTGTTCTGGAATAATATTGAACTCAATCCCAGGCAGTGAGATATGAGAATAAGAGGCATAAATATTGTAAAGGAAATAAGATGACTATTTGGAACAGATAATATGCTTACCTGCTTAGAGAGTTCCCCAAAAATCAACTAAAAAATTAGAAATAAAGAGGGTATTTTAAGGTGGTCAGTTTTGAAAATATATACAAAAATCATTAATTTTTGTATCTTTATGTTAACTACTTGGAAAATATGATGGGGGCTAGGGATGTAACTTAGTGATAGAGCACTTGCCTAGCATGTGTGATGTAAAGGCCCTGGGTTTGATCCCCAGCACCACACATGCGCACGCGCACACACACACGCACAAAATAGCTAATGATATAATAGAAAAATTGTATTCTCAAAGGCAACAGAATCATAAACATTAAGCAAACCTCATTTAAAGGAAACCACAAAACTTTAACAGTTGACATCAGAAAAGTTGAAATCAATGAAAAAAAATATAATTTATGCTTGTTGATAGGTAAAAAGGTCACAACCCCAAGATCAATCTACAAACTGAATGTGATTCTGTCAAAAACTAGGGAAGGTAAAAGGACGTAAAAAATACTTTCAATGTGAAATGCAGAATGACTAGGAAAACGCTATAAAAAGAAATAATTAGGGTCACTAGCTCCACCCCATGGTAAAGTAGGATAAAGCTTTAGTAACTGGGCAGTTCCTAAACAGTTTGGACAAGCAAACCCATGTGACAGCTTAGAGAATCCAGAAATAGACCCAAAATACATGAAAATTCACAGAGGTAGCAGGCACTGTACAAATCAGTGAGGAAAAAGGTAGACTTCTGGCCATGTGAGAAAGAACATGGCTACTTTATTACTTTCAATAAGATAAAATCCCAAGTTACCAAAAGTTTAAATATAAAAGTGAATTCACAGAGGTATTAAAAACATTGGGAAAGACCTTGTCAAGCATGGCAAGAGTCTGAAATTGTAAGAATAAATATTGACAGGTATGATTCCATGAGACAATTAAAAACTTGCAGTTTGGTAAACCATTCCCCTGCCATAGACAAAGCTGAACATCAAATGAAAGGGGAAGATGTTTTCGACATCAGTTGACAGCCAAAGATTAATACTCTTAGTGTTAAAAGAGATGTATCAGTGTGAAAAGGAAAACCAGCTCAACAGGAAATGAGCTGGGAGCATAATGATTTATAAAGGAAGAGTTCAAGTGGCCAATATATGTAGTGAAAACTATTCAATTTTACTAATAATCAAATGTACACATACCCACATATAAATACTGAGAAGACCAGAAAATAATTTTGTGGTTATCTTTTGTGAAATTCACATTTTTCCTCATTTTTTTGTATTGTTGCTTAATTTTTTTTAAACATGGGCCCATATTTTCTTTATAATCAGGAAAATACCTTAATGTCATTTTAATTTTAAAAAGTAGTAGAAGAGGAAGACAAGGAGAGCCAAATATCACTCTGGCAGATGCCAAATTTCCGGAGTGTTTGTTCCCACTGATCTGTGGTCAGTTCTGCCTGTGGGGACGTGGTCTTGCTTAAGGAGACAAAAATTTCTTGAGTCCAATCTCAGGGCTCCAGGAGGAGTTCAGAAGCTTCAGAGTCGAGGAAGGGAGGGGTGACTTAGAATAAGCTGAGAAGCTTTTAACGCTTCCGTGGCTGAGGCCAGGCAATCGTCCCGTCAAGTCCACAGCTCTGCATTAGGGCCCCAGACAAAAGTATTTTTTGAAGCCCCTCCGGGATCCCAGTGCACAGCCAGGGTTGAGAGTCACCAGAGTGGATGAAACTGGGGACTCTGTGTGGGTAAAGAGTTGTATGTGTCCATACTCCGAGGACCACAAGGTCCTAGGAATTTTCTCAGTCCTGACTGGAGACCCTTAGGAGCAAACAATCCTGAAATACCTTAGGAGAATGGCCACACCTATAAGGTTGTCTTATGGAAACTTGAGTTGAAACAGTCTATAAATGGAATGGGGCAAAGTGGGCGTGTGTGTGTGCATGTGTGTGTGTGTGTGTGTGTGTGTGTGTGTTCACAAACACAAGTACATATTCTGATCTTCCTCCTCTACAATGAGTGGTTCTATTTTTGTCCTTTCTAGGGCTACAGAACAGGCTACCCATACCGCCACCCCTTTGTTCAAGAGAAAACCAAACACAAAAGTGAGGTGGAGATCCCAGCCACGGTCACTGCCTTTGTGTTTGAGGAGGATGGTGCCCCTGTCCCCGCCCTGCGACAGCATGCCCAGAAACAGCAGAAGGAGAAGACGCGCTGGCTCAACACGCCCAATACCTACCTGCGGGTCAATGTGGCTGACGAGGTCCAGAGGAGCATGGGCAGCCCCCGGCCCAAGACCACAGTAAGGGGGAAGCCGGGACGGGCTGCTGCATTTGTGGGGGTTAACAGCTTTATAAGGGAGCAGAACAAATGGCCCCAGAACCCAAGGTTGTGCAGCTTCCTCCCAGGGCTTCTTGTGGGGCCTCTGGGAACAACAGCTCAACACTTCCCACCCCTGGCCTGACCACCTCTTTCTTGCATCTCTGTGCTAAATTTTTGGTCTGAGGGGCAAATTTCTCTAGAGGGCAGCTGGACTAGGCTACTGTCCCCTGGAACAATTGATTTTTTTTTTACTTCTTGGTCTCATGTCCAGAGGGGGTTGCTGGGAAATACCAGGGATGAATATCCAACATTTCAATTGTAAATTCGAGGCAAAGCCAGGAGGTCAGGGGGCTTGTCTCTTGTATTAAGTTACCTTCCCTCTCACTCCCCCTCTTCCTCTCTCGCAGACACACAGACTCTCAATTTGATTTTTTGTTAACATGAAAGTAGCTGGCAGCCATATAGAATAGCTCTCCACCAAGCCCTTGAAACTCAAATTGAGTTATTAAATGCTGAAACCCAAGTGGTTGCCTGTCTAAGCTGGTTACCAAGGTTCTGATCCCTACCCTCCAGTGTTTGTTATGACCTAAGGCCTTCTTTGGCAGCCAGGTCATCTGTCACAGCATCAAAGAGGCCCAAGAAGAGAGAACATCTGTGAATAATTCTGAACTTCAGCATAGGCTGGTGGGCCCAGATCACAAGGGGTAGGCTACTGGGGAGGGTCTGTGGGCCCTGTTCCTCTAACTTACCCACCTGGCCTTGCCTCATACAGTGGATGAAGGCTGATGAGGTGGAGAAATCCAGCAGTGGCATGCCAATCCGGATTGAAAACCCCAACCAATTTGTGCCTCTCTACACCGACCCCCAAGAAGTGCTGGACATGAGGAACAAGGTAAGGTGGAGTCTGCTGGCCTCGTTCTCTCTCCTCTCGCAAAGGGATCTCAGTCCTGCAAATACAGGCTGAGTTCCCAGACATGCCCACCTTACTAGCACCCCGGATGTGCCACAGAAGAAAGAAGCTACCATATATGGACAATGTTGTGGGCACCATGCCAAGATAGCGAAGAGGGTCCTAGATAGCCCCTCCCACAGCGGGCTGCGGGCATTGCTCATTGGGTATGTCTGCAAGACCCACCCACTACATGAGAGTTTTTATACATTTTATGCCATTTGCCTTATTTTTAAGACTTTGAGAACCTTGATATTTATTTCTGGACCTTCACCTGATAATTCACTCATATTTCTAATGATACTTTAAAACTTGAGCTCTGGCTGCCCACGGGCCAGTAGAGCCCAGAATAGTGTTCAGCCTGTGGCCGAATCTCCCTACAGCATTTGTCTGATTCCTGGGTCACTGCACTGCCCCGCCCCCCCATCAAGATTCAGACTCAGTAGGTGTATGTATGGGGAGGGCCGTGAATCTATATTTAAAATACATGTCTCTTGTATTAAGTTACCTTCCCTCTCACTCCCTCTCATGGGCTCCTTAGGAATATTAAAATTTGAGACCCTCCCTCTGTGTCCCCTTCCCTCTTCTTGTCCTCACAGCTGCTTCTCCGATTTAATGAACTTGGTATTTATATGAACTGTGAATTCACTCTGGAACAGAACTGGGGACTTTCTCTTATAGGGGATGGGCTCCCTCACCCTGCAGGGCCCTTCTAGATTCCAGTCACAGACCACACTGGATCCCAGTAGGCCCCTGACAAGCTCCACACTCTGATGCCGCACCCTCCTTCTCTCCTTTCCACATAGATTCGAGAACAAAATCGGCAAGATGTGAAGTCGGCGGGGCCTCAGTCCCAGCTCCTGGCCAGCGTCATTGCTGAGAAGAGCCGAAGCCCGGTACAGCAGAGTCCGCCCCTGGCTGGAGGGGAGACATGTTTGCCTTCTGGGGCTTTGGTGCCTGGGGCTGGGCAGCAGGACCTCTGAGTCCTCATGCCCATCCTCCTCTGTGCTCTTGGGAATCCATGCTCTTGCTGCAGAATGGAGGTCCACTCACGGGGGCTGTAAGGTCCCGGGAGGACAGTGTCTACCTGCCCTCTGCAGGCACTGGGCAGGGAAGCTGCTGTCCAGCTTCTTCTTGGGAGTGCTGCTGGCCAGCTCCATACCTTCCACCCTGGTACCCTGCTCAGGCCTCTGTTAGTACCCTGTGGAGGGCTGGTGGCTCTCAGGTGCACCAGGCTTGCACGGCCCTGAGTGTTTCTGACCTCGGTGTGTGGATATGGCATCATCTGGCCAGAGTTCTGGGAAGATGCTCCTGACCCCCAGAGGGCATGGACCCAGGGTGTATGCTCCTGAAGGGAAGGAAGGGCAGTCAGTTGCCCACACAACCCCACTTAGGTTAAGAAAGCATAAAGTCATTGTTTTATTTTGGTGTTTTTTCTTTTTTTTTTTTTTTTTTGTACCAGGGATGCGTAACCACTGAGCCACATCCTCAGCCCTTTTCAGTATTATTATTATTTTTTATTTTGAGAAAGGGCCTCAGTAAGTTGCAGCTGGCTTTGAACTTGCAATCCTCTTGCCTCAGCCTCCCAAGCTGCTGGGATTACAGGCATGCGCCACAGTGCCTGGCAAAGTCATTTTTTTGGTGCTTGAGTGCTTGAGCTAGAACGACATCTTTCTTGTCTAGTGTTTAGCAAGTTCAGAATTCTGGCTTGTTTGAAGTCATTGCTGCTCAAGGCAAGGCAGCCATGGGCGTGGCATTTTCTTTAGTAAAAAGTGGGGAAGTCCAGAAAATGTTCTCTACAAAGAAAATTGAGATGATGTGATGGTTTCAGATCAGGCAGCAGCCCACAAGATGGGGGTTCACTGCCAGGAGAAGTGTGAATGTTACATCCTTCCATCCAACTCCCACCCACCCATATTTAGCCACATGAAGAACACTGAACATGCCACAGGGTCAAGGATGGAAAGAGCCTATGATTCTGGGGGAGGTGAAAGGTCAATACAGCAAGCAAAATTGCTGAAAAACAGTCCCTCATCTTAGAATCTGGCTCCTTTGACTCTGATTCCTGCCATAGGCCTACCTCCGCCTCCCTTTGGGAAGGAGCCTCCTGGGCCTCTTGTCAGCAGACCTGGCTACCCTGGGTTCAGTGCCCCTGGGCTTCAGTTTCTTATGCTCTAGAGTGCTGCATTCTTAAAGGCCATGATGAGGATGCTCAATTAGGACAAAGGGCAATGGAGTCTGGATTTTAGTCCCGATTTTGGGCAAGAGTAGCCAAAGGATTCCCGAGGCTCACAGTGTCTGGTTGATTAGCTCTCTAGAGCCGAGGGTCTCACAGGGGTGGTGAAATGGAGCGATTTTGCCAGTGTCCCTGAAGGTACCTGCGGGTGGGAAATCCGAGACTCAGGACCTTTGCCCCTTTGTAACCTTGACCATACGCAAAACAGAACTCCTGGCTTGGACTGAGAATGCTGCGGCTGCTGTGTTTGCTGTGTTTACTGCTGTGTGTTGGGTTTGCACTGCTGTTGGGGGGTGGGCAGGGGCTCTGGTGGGGAATGGCTGGCATGAAGCTTGCTCAAGCCAACACTCTGCCTGCTAGGCTTGGGCTTGCCTACTGACTTTGGGCCACTGACTGTACATTTACATAGTAATGGCTTGGAAGTGTCCGTAGAAGGGATTGCAATAAAGGTGTGTCTTCCTCCTGCTTGGGAGCATCCTTTGATTTTATTTCAGGGGCAAAGAGTGGCCTCCCTGTATTATTCATCCAGGCAGTTGCAAAATCTGGGTCTGGTGATGAGGTAGCAGTGGGGAGGAATGAACAAGCCCTACCACGAGGCCCTGAGCTGTTTCCAAGGAGCTGCATGCCACGCTATGGCTAGCAAGACTGCTGGCAGCCACCTGAGTGTGAAAGGAGGCCCGGGCTCGGGCCCCATCTGCGGCGTTCAGAGAGCGACACACACTCTGTGGTTAACTTTCAGTCGACAGAGAGCCAGCTGATGTCCAAGGGTGACGCGGATACCAAAGATGATTCAGAGGAGACGGTGCCCAACCCCTTCAGCCAACTCACCGACCAGGAGCTGGAGGAGTACAAGAAAGAGGTAGAGAGGAAGAAACTAGAACTGGATGGTAAGTAACCCCAGGGCACCATGGCTTGGAAATCTCCCAGGGGAGAGGGCAGAGCTCAGGACCACCCAGGGAGGACTTCCTTCCCCATCACCAAATAATATTCCACTTATTTATTAATCCCAGTCATGCCTCTGTTGCTCTGTGCTTCACAGTTACATGGTGGCTGCATGACCTCATTTGCCCCCTCACCTCTGTATAAAGAGTTAGCTTGTGTAAAGTGCTCAGAATGGTGCCTGTAAATATGGCTTAGGTTGGCAAACACCAGCTTAACGTTAGCCGGAATAAGAGTCATAATTATCATTAATGACCCGGCAGGCCTGATGTAAGCCTTTGAGCCTGGCACCTTTATGTCTTTTCTAACTCCTCCTTTATTTCAGAGTCTTCACTCAAACCCATCTCTCCATATTGACTCCCAGATATGTGATGGGATGCGTGCCCTGGTCCATGCCTGTGTCCCCTCCAGGCACTGTTTCCCTTCGTGCTAGCCTGATCTAAAGTCATCAATACTGCCAGCTCCCTCTCAAATCCCCCTCCAGCCAAGAAGGCCCCCCCGCCACCTTCCCCACTCCAGCCAAATTGAGCCGTCCTTTTTTTTTTTTTTTTTTTTGCTTTAAAAACACCCGGAATCTGAGACATACTTCAGCCCTTGGCAGTGTCCACTAGGGTAAGCTGTCATTCATCAGGACAGCGTCCTTCTCCACCACCTCTCCTCACCCAGGGTCTGCCTTCTTCCAAAGCACAAAATGGAAGCTTGCCAGGCTGGCTTGCAGTTCTCGTGGACCAACTGGAAGAACAGAAAAATATGGGGCTTGTTATCCCTAGGGATTGTTTGGACAGGACATGTAGATTAGCCAAGTTAACAAAGTAGCCACACACAAACAAATCACGGGTGTTTTTAAAGGGAGTAAGTGTTTGTTTGGGGCTGGTGCTTGCCCATGGATGTGCCTGTCTGGCTGGTCCTCCTCAGAGACAGGACAGAGAGGAGGGGGCATTCTGCTGTCCACTCGGGAATGACCTGTTGCACTGGTACATAAGCTTTGATGAAAGAAACAAGATCACTCTTCTCCCATTTTCCTCCCCAAGGAAACAGCAGAAATAAAAGCTTAGCAGGAGCGGGAGCTTCTGGCTGACCTCAGCCAGGAGGTCCATTTTCCGCCAGGAGGAATGATGACCAATTAGAAAATGGCAGCGTGGCTAACATCCTCTCTCTCTGCCCATCTGGCCAGTATTTGATCCCGGTGCTGAGGTGCTTTTCTGTGTTCTCAGGAGAGAAGGAGGCTGCCACAGAAGAGCCAGGTTCACCTGAAAAGTCGGCACCTGCTTCTCCAGCACAGAGCCCAGTGAAGGCAGAGACAAAGAGCCCTGTGGTCTCTCCTTCCAAGTCTGCAGAGGGTGAGTGGAGCTGAGCAGGTGGGGGTGGGGGGAGCATCTACAAGCTGGGAGAGGTGTCTGCGTGGATGGCAGGACAGCTAGGCACACTGGGCACCTGCCTTTCAACAGATATAATACCCCCACCCCACCCCCTCAACACACACCATTTGAGAAACTTTCCCCTCTGCTATTTCTAGGGAATCTGAATAATTTTCAGTTTGTTTCATTCATAAACTCTGACAGCACACCTTGCAGCTTAAGCCCTGCCAAGCAAAGCTGAATGAAAGACTGATCCGTAGTCTCTCAGCTGCAGTGGAGACACAGCTGGCTAGTGGGATTTTGCAGATGTGCTAAGCCCAATTCTCAGACTTTAATGTGCATAGGGGACTACCTGGGGATCTTGTTCAAATGAAGAGTCTGATCCATTAGGTTTGGGATAGGGCCTGAGACTCTGCATTCCCCAGGGTGAGGCTGATGATGTCATTCTCTGCCTTCACTGGGCTTAGATCCCACCCACAGCAGCTATGAATTAGAGGACCTGGGTGGGGTGGGGCATGGAGGGCCTGAAGCCTGGAGTTGTAAGAGCTCTCCAGGGGGGTCTAGAACATAGACTAGGTTGAGAACCACTTCATTGGAGAGACAGTAGTATCGAGAACCCAGTTCTAGAACCGTCTGAATTGCTAACTGATAACATCTAAGCTGCTAATTTTACCAAATCAGATAACTTCTCTGTTCCCCCATGTCCTTGTCTGCCAAATGGGGCTACTATTATTTTCTCCCTATTTAAGGTTCTTGCATGTTTAAAGGAAGTATAGATAGATGAAGACATACTTTGAAAGAATAAAAGCATGCTTTAAATGTAAGTTCTAGCCATGTTATGAATAAGAATATCCATATGGTAGACACTGATACTGTTAAAGTCCCTCAATCATAAAAGTATCTTTAATGAGCTCCTGGAATCACTCCAGGATATAAAACACTCCTCCCTGGGTCCCCTGAGACTCCCAGAGACACTGCCAAACAGGCTGCCCTGCCACCCAGAGAGCAGGGTGGCAGCTGGGATCTTCTCTCTCCTGGGTAGATGGCCACACATGTGGACTCAGATAGAATCCCCACCCCAGCCCACCCCTGAGTCCCCCCCTAAGCCAGTCGCTCTCTCAAGCACAGGCCCAGAATTGTCAGAGGAAACCCATCTGCTTGAGGCCAGAGCCCCAAGTGGATGTCCCCAGTGGTCTGTGTTCATTGTGTCTCATCATGGTGTCGTGTTGTCAACCTGTCTCCACAACGTCTTCCTTTCTCTTCCCATTTGTGCCTTCATCAAAGGAGTTTCCTCCGATTCTGAATACTTGTCTCTGTAGTAAGTATAGAAAGGCTGTTTACTAACTCACGCCGACACTGGCAACGGGGGAGGGCGGAGTTTTTCAAAAGAAATAGATTTCTCCCATTTTTTTCTTTTGCAACTCACACCCCCGCCTTCCTCAGTTTTTCTGGATATAAAATTCATGACCAGTTCCACCTGCACTATGCATAGACTAGGCTTCCCCGAGGGAGACACAGATGCACACACAGAGCACACACACCCAGAGGCAACAAGCCCCCGCGCTGAGGGCTGTGGGGCAGCTCTCCCTGCGGTAGAGTGCTCGTGGCCCTCAGGAGCTCACCTCCGCCTCTGTTCTAGTGCATGAGTACCTCCGAGGAGCTGGTGACCTCTTCTAGGGCTGTGGACCAGAGCCTGAATGCCCCAAGGCAGCTGCCGCACGGGGAGGCACAGAGGACTGGGCCTGATTAGAGCCCTCAGCACCTATGAGGATGTGTGTACCAATTGTAGGAAGGAAATCTGAGGCTGGAGAAGAGGCTCATGGTAGGAATGGGACAAAGAGTAGCACTTTGTTATCAGCTCCTGGAAGGGACGGAAGCCAGGAGGGTGTGTGATGGATGGGATAACTGTTTAACCAACCCCTGACATCATACCCACTGCGGCAGGACTCCTCATTCTCTCTGGTCCAAATCCTTGCCCTTGGAGGGCACACTGAGGTTGAGTTGATAGAAGAGTCACAGTCTCTCTGAAGGCACATCTTGTGCCACAGACAGAGCTGAGAAGCATGGCTACCTTGGAGCAGTCCCTGCATGATGAAGGCATGAGCTTCAGTTGGGTGGGTGACCCGTGGGAAGTGGGTGGTCAGTCCTTCAGGGCAGACAGGCTGGCATCTGCACTCTCGTATTTAGCTAGCCAGTCAGATCAGGAGTGGTTTTTTACAACCATTTGTCACCGTGCTCTTAAATCCCCATGAGTTATCGTAGTGTTATTCCTTATCTGTGTCCCAGATTCCTACTCCGTCAGCTTCTCTGAAGGAGATGCTTTTCAAATCCTCTTCTGTTACATCTGGCCATCTGAGCCATCTTGTCTTTGACTCTTTACTGATTGTCCCCTGTCCCTGCCAACTCCATTCTCCAGCAACCCCTCAGGGCCACTGACTGAGCCAGCAAAGACACAGTCTTATATTTGACATCACATCATCAGCTCTGCCACTAAATAATTTAGTCATCTTAAATATGTCACTTAAAAACACTGCAGATGGGGGAACAACACAAATGCTTGCTCTTCCTAACTCATGGCGCTGTTGCCAGGGTAAAAGAACCTAAGGAATATAAAAGTCCTTTGTAAGGTATTTACATAAATTAGGTCTTATTACATACCATGTTCCCTGAATTGTGAGAACTAATACATCACTTGACTTTTAAGCCTCTAAGTTTTGGGGTAGCACTAGATAGTTATTAAATAATGGCACATAATAGGAACTGATTTTATGGAAATTAGTTCTCCTGTGGATTGACTGGACTTAGCTTGATGGTTCCTCTGCTGCATATGACATCGGCTGCAGGTGGCTGGGAGCTTGACTAGGCTGGAACTTACCTGCTGGTGCACTCATGTCTGGTACCTTAACAGAGGCCAAGAGAAAACTGGACTCAGCTGGGACACTGGTGTGTCTGGGTCTCTTTCCCCCTTCCTCCCTCTTCCTAACACACACACACACACACACACACACACACACACACACACACACACCCTTTCTTCCTTTCTCCCTCCTCCCAAGCCATGTGGTTTCAGGGCTTCTCCATGTGGCTTTTCTGTATGTTTCCATCAGGGTTGTTGGACTGTATACGAAACTATAAAAGCAGCAGTTTCTAGTCCTACTTTAGTCTTTGGCATGAGGCTAGCTTTGCAGCACTTTGTCTGTCTTCTAGTGGTTATGGTGAGCCATGGGGCCAGCCTGGACTCAGGGAGGACGGGGTCTACATAAGCACGTGAATACCTGGAGGCATCACTCACAGGGGCCGTGTTTGCACACCAGCTGTACCACACACTGAAAGTATATTTGGGTGTCCAGGGGAGCTTCTGTGTCCTGGCTGTGGAGCGTGCGTGGCAGTCACAGAGACTCCACCTGCCCCTGGTTATAAGAAGCTCTACTTTCTCTCCCATCAAGGGTGCTGTCTCAGCCCTTTGTTGGGGGGTAGATGTGGAAGGAACTATGCCATTCTAAACCCATGTTTCCCACTGTGTGACCCATGGGTCTTTTGCACTAGAATTATCTAAGGACTTGTTAAAAAATATAAATTTCTTGGCCCACCATCTGTTTCAGTCTTATCATGGAGACAATATAGGGAAGCTGTATTTTCATAGGCTCTCTGCAATTCTTTCACTGATGTTTAAAAATTGAAACCAGGGCAGAAACACTATTGCAAACCTATCTGTGTGGACAGCATCTAATTTATTGATCTGCCATGGGACAGTTCTGGCTTTTGGTCTTTGGCTCCCCTGCTCTGTCCCTTGAACACCCTGTGGGCTATTTTGATTGCTGCTACATAGTCAGCTCTGTGTTGGCATAGACCACAGATGTTTATTTCAAGGTTTTTATCAACCTTTCTTTTGGTTCTTTATACAGAAGAAGAGCTTTCTCTCAGCAGGAAAACAAAAACAGTAGATGGCATTCACCAACTTTCGAAGCATTTTGGATACAGTTGATGATCTGTCTGGTTGACCCCAAGTTTAGAAGCAAATCAGAAAATTCTGCTTCAGGGCCCTTCCTCTGGTGTCCATCCTTCTGCAGAGACAGGGCCATTCTAGTTGTGGGGCTTGAAAGAAAAGTGACCACAACACTCAGAGCAACCAAGAGATCTTTATTGCAGCAGTGCAAGAGAGGAGAAAAGAGAGAGAGAGAGAGAGAGAGAGAGAGAGAAAGAGAGAGCGAGAAAGCGAGCAAGAGAGAGTCAGAGAAAGCAAGAGAGATAGCAAGAGAGGGGCCCGGCAGGAGGGAGTTTTTATAGCCCAAATCTAATGGGGTCTCTGGGTCTGCAAGCTGCCTTGTTGGCACAAGGGGTTAAGTGTTTGGCCTTGAGTGGTGGCTTGGGCGTTTGGGCTTGAAGCAAACAGGTGATAAAGAACCAGACAGAGGGTTTGAGTGGCCAGGTCATCCTGCAGCTAACTTTGTTTGGCATGTCCTGCAGACAACTTACTCAGCCTGTCCTGCACCTAACAGGACTGGGGCCAGGGATCATGGAATTTGACCCTGAGATGTTAGAAGGCCAGGTTCATTAGGCCAGTGAGGAAAGGCATCCTTGCTCCTGAAGTTAGGCGAGGCCTCTGTCCTTCCCCATGTCCTCACTCCAGTGCGTGGGCACAGAAGATTTGGCTGCTGAAGAGAAGCAAGGTATCCTCTGTTGACCTTCATCTGGCCTCACCTGGAAAAAGTCTCGAGCGTGTTATCACTGAGCTGGATGATGATGGCTGCCAGAGAAGTAAGACAGTCTCTGTCCTGAATGGTCTCCTGGGGTGATAAATGAGGTCTTAGAAAAGTTGAGTGATGCATGCAAGTGCAAAATGATTATGTGAACAGTAGGTTTAGAAAGGGCAAGGTCATTGTCAAATACCAGGCAGATGCACAAGCTGTCTTGAGCCAGACTTTGGGGACATATATACTTGGATTGGCAGATAGTAGTGGGGTAGGCTGTCCAGAGATGGTAGCCAGGAAGCAGGGAGAAAAGACATTGCTGGGAGGTGACTGTATAAGGGTTCTCCAGAGAAATGGAATTAATAGGGCATATATAGACATATAAAAGAAGACTTACTAGGGAATGATTTTGGAGGCTGAGAAGCTTCATGATTGAGTGTCTGCAAGCTGGCAAACCAGGAAAGTCAGTGGTTTTATTCACCCTCAGTTTGAAGGCCTGAGATCCAGCATCTCCAGTGTGTGAAGGAAGGAGAAGATGGATGTTCCAGCTCAAGAGGAGAGTTCTCCTTCCTCCACCTTCTTGTTATATTTGGACCCTCAACAGATTGGATGATGCCCAACCTTATTAGATGAGGGTACAACTCCTTTACTCAGTCTACCGATTCAAGTATATCTCTTCCAGAAACACCTTCACAGACATACCCACAAGGATTGTTTTACTGGCTATGTGGGCATTCCTTAACTCAGTCAAGTGGATGTGTAGAATTAATCATCAAAGGGACACTGGTGGACCAAGAGGCAGTGAGTGGATGGAGACTATGGGATAGTGAGAAATCAAAGAGAAGCAGGGCATCTAGGAAGCTCTGCACCTCCCTACAGAAGCCTGCCTTCTCTTTCAGAATCTGAAGTCTTTCAGCCCTCCATCCTGCAGCCCTGTGGGGTCTGGGAGTAGACTTGGTCTCTGAGTCTAGTCTTGCTCCCAATCATGTGCTATCTCAGTTCCTCCTTGTTCTCTCCAGCTACCTCGTCACCATCCTTAGATATAGCTCCCAGTTTTCCACCCTCTGCCTCCCCCCCCATCCCCTATTCCCAGAGTCCCAAGCACCCCACTCAGGAGAGAAAGTCTATGCTTTTTAGCGGATGCTGGAAGGTAAACTCCCACCTGCACCTAGTTCTCGGGGTCCCTCCCAGCCTACTCCCTGAGTCACTAACAGAGGAAGGGTCTCGACTCTCAGAGCCAATCCTTTCCAGGGACCCATACATGTTTTTGGCGTCCTGTACCACTGCGTCATTTCTTGGCCAACAGAACTCTCACGTGGTCTCTGTCCCTGTAGTTGAGGGAGTGGCGACCTCAGTTTGGCTCCTCCAGCTCCACACTCCATTTGCCACGACCCATCAAAACAATTCACCATCAGAGAGCTGTCTGGGGTCAGAGTGGGTACACTGGGTGTGGCCCTTGTTTTCTACATGGTGAGAAGAACGTGGATGTGAACCAAGACTCTCACCAGGGGCCAAGGTTGTAGCTGAGGTGGATGGCAGAGCAGGTGTGGGAAGGGAAGTGGATGGGGAACGCATGAAGGGCACAGGAAGAGTAAGAATCCTCGTCATCGCCAGGCAGGAAATGACACTAGAACAGAAAGTGGAAGCCCTTCTGATCCACAGTTGTATTTGTGAAGCTAAAAAACAAGTCCCAAAGTCATTTTGAAGAGCACCAAGGGTCAAGCTTGAGAATATATCCTTATGTGTCACTCAAGTGGGCACCTGTCGTGAGTCTCTGGATTTAAGTTGCAGAGCCATGGGGTGGGGGTACGAGGGTCCAGGACAATTGGGAATGAAGATGAGGAGGGTCCAGGACAATTGGGAATTAAGATGATGAGGGTCAGGAAGTGTAGCACCTGGGTGGCATTACACGATGGATCCTTAGAAAGCTCAGGGTGGAGTAGACAGGAAATATAATGAGGGGGTGGCGTTGCCTTGGGTAGCATAAATCCATTCACATGTTCATTATTTGCTCATGCGTTCAATTATTCATGGACTCCCACAGCCATTTTCCCAGTATCTTCTAGGAGCTAGTTACATACATAATTAGACAGTCTTGCCCAAATTTATTTCAGTTCAGAAGAGGAAGAGATAGGCATAAAAAAATCACCCAGGTCTAATAGTTTCAAAATTACGGTGATTAAAAATTCTAGTAGTGGAGACAGCAAAGAAGTGGAAATGGGGATCGGGAAGGACCTTAAGGAAGATGAAACATTCAAGCTGACTCTCTGCATGAGGTGAAGGTTGTGGACACAGAGAGGGGAGAGAAGGGCCCCCCAGACAGCAGAGAACAGGCTGGGGTGGCAGCAGGGGCTGGGAGGCTGAGGAGGCTAAATGGCAGGTACAATGGGGACAACTGATAGACAGAAGGTTGTGTCCAGACTGATGGATGGCATTCAGGAGCATGCTAGGTGATGGCCACAGGAATTCCTGGCAGAGGTGAGGGGACTGGGGCAGGGCCATAGGAGTCAGGAGCTGGAGAACTGGGCAGCTGGATGATGAGAGGACGTGGGCTGGGCAGTGGAAAGAATGGGAGCCAGTGACCAAAGTCTGTAGTGCCAGGAGGGAGTCTTCCAGAAGGCGTCTGGGAGAAGGCTTTGACTTGTCGGTTTCAGAAGTTGCAAAAGGCCTCATTACAAGGAGATCTTGCCCAAGCAGTTAATCCAGCCCAGCCTAACTGTCCTAAGGTCCCCCTTCCAGCCCATCTTCCATGTAACCCTCCACATAGACAGACGTGTCCCTGTTCACCCGTCAGAACCCCACGCTTCTCTAGAACGCTTTTTCCACCCACTTCTGTGACACTGGCTGTCCCTTCCCCCAGAGCCCACATTCCCACATGGAGGATCCTGCGGGACTGACTTCTTGTGATAACACACTCACCACACCTGCCACATCCTCCACACACACTCACACTTACTCCACACTCCCCACACACATGCAGCTCACTTTAACCCTCACACCACACGTACTCACACACTCACAGGAGCTCACACACATGCCACACCCAGATGCTCCCTTGAGCTCGGGTGAGAACAACACTGGACTAGAAGTCAGTGAACCGAGGCCGACCCACTGTTTTACAGCTTTGCTCAGTTTTTAGTTACGAAACAAGGAGGGAGCCAGGTGACCTGTACGGTGCCTTCTACTTCTCAAAGTCTGTGGTTTTACGTTTTCCCTCCTCCCTCTTGAGCCGGCATTCCAAAGCTTGCATGGAAAGAGGGTGGGATGTGGGTGGGGAAGGGCCACTGGAGGGTTTAGTTCCTGGGGTCTGAGCAGCTCTGCCCATGGCACCTGGCCATCCCCGGGTGCCATTAGATGGGTGGATCCCTTATGACTAACCTTTATATCATAGAAATGCAGGGTCCACACCACTCAGGGAATTCCATCCTCCCAGCCTTCTCCTCTCTTCCTCTTGGGAAGGTACTTTCCATATTTTCCTAAGCAGCTCGCCTGGTGTAAGAAGTGAAACCAACATGCAACCTCCATGGTTTTATTAGTGAAACTGCTCTGCCTTCAGCGATTCTCAGACACCTCCCCTGAGATGTCCAGGACACATTCCCTCCTTCCATCAGCCTCTCTCCTCCCTCATGTGTGACCCTATCACTGTGCCTAGAAATGTCCTGAGCTGAGTCTCTGCTGGCATTCCTGCCATGTCTGTTCAGTGTGTAGACAAGAGTCCAGGGTCACTGTCCTACCTAGGATGCAGGAGCAGGCCTTGTAGAAAGGGGTGCAGTGTTCGGATGACAGTCTTGTCCTCCCATTTGCCTGAGAGCCCTGTTCTGCATCCCCGTGTCAGTCTGCCTCCCCAACCATTGTTCTAGACTGAACCGGAAGTGTTTTTTTCCCCCGGTGGACATTCTCATCTGAATGAAATCTTACGGTCGTGTCTTTTGTTCTTTTTCTAGAAGACGTTAAGGAGACAGAAACAAGCAAAGCCACCACTGAGCCCGAAACAGCCCAGCCAGAAGGGGTGGTGGTCAACGGGAGGGAGGAAGAGCAGACTGCAGAGGAAATTCTCAGCAGAGGCTTGAGCCAGATGACCACCAACGCCGACACGGACGTCGATACCTCCAAGGACAAAACCGAGTCAGTCACCAGCGGCCCCATGTCCCCAGAGGGCTCACCCTCCAAGTCTCCCTCCAAGAAGAAAAAGAAATTCCGAACCCCCTCCTTCCTGAAAAAGAGCAAAAAGAAGGAGAAAGTGGAGTCCTGATCGGTGGCACCCACGGACTCCCATTTGCATCTTCTCCCTCCTCCCCTCCCCTTCTCCCAATTCTGTCCCTGGAAGCACAGGGCCAAGGAGGGATAGAATAGGACCCGGGATCACACTCAGAGGGGGAACTTGAGATCACCCGACCAACCCCTCATTTTACAGTTACACCAGAGAAATCAGGTGACTGCCCAAGGTCACACAGATAGTTAGCGGCAGAGTCCACACTAGAATTCAGGTCTTCGGACCCCCAGTCTAGTGCTCTTTCCACTTTACAACACTGCCTAGTTGTGGGCCACCTTTGTCAGGACGTTGCCCACCAATCTGAGCCCAGGGCAGGAAGGCAAGAAATGGGCTATGAGCTCTCACAGGCTCAGACTAAGTCAAACAGGTCGAGACTTCCCCTGAGTAAGGTCCATTTCTTCCCAGAAGGCCCATCTCCTGCAATGGAGATACGGCCGCGTTGAGAAATCTTGCTTCTCTTGTCCATTTTGGGTCCCTACCCTGTTGCTCAAAGTAACGAGACAAGTTGACCTGTCCCCGCCAATAGAAGTTAACCTTTCTTCCCAAGGCTGATGGCTTAGCTTGCACTTCCCCGAACACTACCCCTGAGCTGTCTTCATGGAACCACTTGAACGATGAATAGAAGAGCTGTAAGTGTTGGCCGATGCGAGGGCAAGCCAAGTCAGCCTGACGATCAGGGACGGTCTGATCAGTATCGGAAGCCAGGAACTTGACCTGTTTGTATTGTGCATCTCAAGTGCTTCAAAACTAAAACCAAACTTAGCATAAGAAAATGTCGTCTCATGCTCAGGGCAGAAAAGTGGGGAAATTTCAATCCTCTGTTGGCTTTGCGTGGTATAAGGAGGATCAAGGTGGCACAGGAGATGCTGCCTTTCTAGCTTTGCATGACACACCCAGCAATGCACTGTACCTGCCTCATTCCTGTCCAGCAGCCAGGTGTCCCCTGACCTTCCCTCAAACCCAGAGCACTTGCTCACAGACCAGAGAACTGGCATCTTAGTCTTGGCTTCCTTGGGGTTCCAGATCCAAGTTACTCTGGGTCCAGCAGAGGAGAAACAGAAATGTGTCTTTCAGGATTCATCCTCTTGGACCAGCGCTCAGAGAGATGCTTGGGTGTCCCCAGCCCTGTCGCTCTGTCTATCCTGGGGCCTGGTCGTAGCTACAGCTTTTGTTTTAAATGCCAACACTATTTTTTCATGATCTTCTACAGGGCATTGATTCATGAGCATTGTTGACTCCTAGACAATCCATTCTCTTTAAAGCACAGTGTCTTCAAAGAAAATTTCCCTTTTTTGTCCTGACTATTGTAAAAATATTTTCGGAAGTTCTTAACCATAGAATCGTAGTTTTCCATTTTTTGAGCATTTTCAAGTCCAAGGACACTGTGCAGGCTTCACATACATGACACCCTGTAAGCCTCACAACAATCCTGTGAGTTGGTTAAGATGATTCCCATTTGATCATCAGGAAACTGAACTCCCAAAAGAAAAACCTAAAGTCTAGATTTGAACCCGGGTCAGTCTGAGTCCTGAGCCCTTGCTCTTAACATCTCTGGTGAATGGACAACTTTAATCCTTGAAGGTGATTTAGTCCATGAACCATTTCTGAGACTAGTGTCCACTGCATAATGTTAGCACTTGAAATGAAGGTAGGAAACTACCTATGTCCACTTTTACTGATGCATGTTCAACTCCTGGTGGCCTGTGAATGTGGTCCTCTGACAAGACAGGCAGGAGCCTTCCAGTTGGGGCAGGAAACTCCATCCACAGTTGGCTATTTCTTGAAAAGGAAGGAAACTGACATGGCCAAGGAAAACCCAATGCTGAAAACCTAGCACGGATTCCCAACTGCTAGGGCCCCTCTGCTTCCTGGTTGGGTCCCGTCTTAGGATGGACAACCCAACAGGGCACTGACATCTCAGAAAAAAAACAAATCTGTCATATGGGAAATGCCTTTAAAAGCCAATCCTCTGATGCCTTCTTTAAAAACTAGGTTCCCGTTTACTCATTCATCCTTTCATAGAATTTATTGAGCAGCTGCTCAGAATCACACATGATGCTGACGTTAAAAGGAAGCATCATGGTTACTAGAATAAAAGGCGGCAGATAATGTTGAGAGAAGGGAGGAGAGGACGTGACCTCCGGAGCAGCTCTGTGTGAGAGTCATCATTGCTCAGAGGTGTCTGTTGATGGCTCCGTACTTAGCAAACGCTCTGTATTCCCTTTATCTTAGCAAGGCCCCATTTAGGTGAAAATGTCAGAGCCTTGCTGGAGCATCATCCGTGGGATTTGTGCCATGAGTCCACCTCATATTTGCCGATCTGTTCATTCCTTGTGTATTTAGAAAACATGCACTGAGCTTGGGTCCTGGTGCCAGTGTGAAGGGAGGACAGAGCTCCTACCCACAAGAAACTCACAGTCTAGGAGGCCCATAGGCTGATACAAAACAGGCGAGTGCAGAGGGGTGGCATAAGGAAGCAACACTTGGTTTTCTTCTAGGGCCAGAGGAACATTCCTGAAGGTGATCATGGCAGAGTTAGGTTTTCAAAACAAAGAAACTTCCCAGAGAGACAAGGGTTTCCTATTCCCAAATGAGGGAAGACTATGCACAGAAGCGAGGAACCACACTATCTTCTATAGCAAATAGTGAGTTTCCAGCCCGGAGTCCCTTTGAGATTTTTAATAAGGAAGGAAGAGCTTATGTCCCCTACTCAGTTCTGTTTCATCTGGGCGTGGGTTTGCTGGGAAAGGGTTGCATCAACCTGACAGTTTTTTTCTTCCCTCGCCTGTGAAGGATGCGGTCCATTCCGCTGCAGGCTGGAGGGCGAGCACCAAGTGCTGTAGAAACAGCCAGGCAGTCCAGACAAACCCGCAGGCCACGAGGGTGAGAGAGTATTTTATTTGGCTCTGCATAAAAGTCAACTGAAAGTTTGGTATCTGACTGGAGAAAATGAATATTCATGAGCTCCAAGCTTATAGACAATGGATTAGTTTCTAATTGAGCCCTTGTGCTCAGATAGGACACAGAAAAGGGATAAGAGAATGTGCACCAGTCTGCTTCACTGTGACTGGCTGATCTGAGCAGTAGAGAAGCGTCTGAGCCTGTTTCCGTGGGAAGGCAGGCAGGAGCTGGGGCAGAGGGGAACACGGGTCAGTGGTCACAGAGGGTCAAGCTTGGGTCCAATGCCTCTGTGCACTGGTAGCTGGTAGCCAATTGTGGTGTGGGAGAACCATCCATACCATGTGACCTTCTCTCAAACTGCAAAAGGCACCGCCAAGAGACTCCCTGACCCTGCTGCAGCCCAGATCTGGGCTACACCAGAGCCTCCTGGCCCACAGCTGACCCAAGTTACTGCCCTGCTTCAGCTACGTGAAAATAACCCCCATTGAAACTCCTACAGGTAACATGAGTTTATTCCTCTGAGTCGAAAGGACTTGGGAGGATTTGGGCGAGAGGTTGCAGGTTCTTATAGTAGTAAGCCCACCATAAAGCCCTGCCCCACACCACCAAATCACATAGGGTAAGCATCAGATCCTGTCCTCTGCTGGATAATTTTGTCCCTCACCCATGGTGACGTGCCAGGGTGGTTATTCAGAGGTTGTTTGGCACTGTTGTAACCGAGGGGCCATGGCTCTTGTCAGCATGGGAAGAAATGCTATTGATCCACTTCTTTGGTTGCTGTGGACCTAAAAGAACCATTTACCCTCTGGCATGATTAACTTCTGAAAGTCAAAAGGTTAGAAATAAGTTTGATTTTTCCAGGATGACGTGCTTGGAGACAGAAGGAGACACAGCCTATCACAGGCCAGGACACCATGCTTTTTCATAAGTGTGAATTTTTACATTCTAGGCCAAGAGAAAACCCTTCTTGGCTATTCGACAGGTGAGGAAATGTTTTCCCCTCACTTATTTTACCCACGTGGGTCTGCAGAGGCCCTCCATTGGTTGGCACTGCTGCAGCTGACTCTGAGCATGGAGGAAACAGGTCTTCTTATATCTTCTCTCATCACTGAGCCCAAATAAACCCTTGATCTAAGACCATAAAATTCAAGGAGTCTGAGAAGATAAGTCTGTGTTCTCCACACCCATAGAAAAAGGACAGGGCATCCAAGCTCTAAACCTGATAGGACATCATATCTGTCCCACATTGAAAGGGGTGATTTAATACAAGCTCATGAGTTGCCATCTGTGCCCACTTCTCCGTGCACCACAACCTGAAAAAGCTTATACACCATAACATAATCATTCCCCAAAGTCCTGTCCAACCGGCTGATCTCCGTGGATGAGGTATAATTTTTGTCAGGAATGAGAGACTCGGTAGGGCTCTGCCATCAAGACACGTCTGCAGTGAGAAGCCACACTCACCCAGGGGTCAGCGTGGGGATCCTTTGGCGGAGAAAGTGGCTTTCACTGTATTTATAGAGGCAGTTCCCTGGAGAAGGTGGCCATCTTAGGAGCAATTAGGAAGAACCTCCAGTTGGTGGTGGTCTTTAAAAATACGGAAGTAAACGTTTGCATTCTTAGGTGGTTGTAGATTTCCCCCCAAAGTTGGGTCATCACTATGAGAAGCAGGCCAGAAAGTGGAGGAGGGAGTTGGCGACTGAGCAGAGAGAGATTCTGGGGCAGCTGGAGTTGGCCTCCGCCTGGGAAGGCTCTGGAGGTCCTCCTGGTAGCCTCTGGTCTTCAGCTCCCTTCCCACCCACTCTTTCCCAGGCATAGGGACAAGGCAGGCCATGATGGGGGCACTTCCCTTATCACCAAGTAGGGTGATTGCCAGCGTTTACAGCGTGGTGGGAGAATAGCTCTAGGAAGACCCGAAATGCTTCTCCCCTCCATCAGATCATCTTGTCAAACTTTTAAAAGCCCAAAGGTCAGATCGTCCCTTTTAAAATTAATCAGAAAGATGATGAAAGTCAGACCAAGGACACAGGGGCCTCACTTGGAAAACATCCCAGCCCCTTATAGACAATGGGAGAGGAATATATTTTAAGGAGGGGATTCCCTAAAATATAGTCTTGCTTTGTGGGTGATGATTTGATCCCCTGGGACTGTGTCCACCTTTAAATTCCCATGATCTGCTCTTAACGACTGAGTCCCAGTGTTGGAGAAGTGGGAAGAACAAGCAGTCGGGAGCCTGGGGTGGCCCGGCTGGGGCGCAGGGCAGCAGGAACCCAGCCTAGGTAGGGAGTGCAGTGTTGTTTAAAGCTGTGGATGGTTTCAGTGAGTTGTCTGTGTCTGACAATCGTCACTAGGGAGTACTACTTACTGTCTTCCCTTGTACATACATTGTCTGTGTTTAGCTTTTCCTAGTATTGTGAGGTTTCAAATAAGGGTTCCATGTAAATACTCTCTCTGCAACTGAAATGCCAGCCCCCTGGGTCACGCACCTTTCCCACAAACGGTTTTGCCTTTCTGTGTGCTAACACGTATATTGAGCCACCAACGTGCAGATGGACGGTTAGTCTCTGGGGCTTTTATTTTGCAATTTTATATATATGCACATATATAATATATATATATATATATATTTATGGGATGGTTTTGTATAGTTTTCTGTTTGAATCTCTGAGCACCAAAGCTGCCCTTGGATTTTCACGAGAACTTTCCAAAGCCACTTCCTGAGCCCTTCTGCTGCTTTGGTGTCTGACTGTGTTGCTGGGGTGGTATCTCTGCCCGTGGATTTCTGTATGTATGTGCTGTTATCTCACCTGCGGATATTACCCTAGTAAATCTAACGTGCTTGGCTTCCCGGTGTGTGTGACCCATCTCTGTTGGCTGCTTGGTTCTCCAGGATACCAGGAAAGCAAACATCAGAAAGAGGGTCTATTTCTGGAAACAGTGACCACGTGAGACATCTTTACCCTTGTGACCATTGCTCACATGTGGGAAGCAGAACGCACATATAATCGAGCGCTGACGTGGGAAGGGAGGTCACAAATACTAGCATCCTCTGAGAAGGCACAAGTCACAGCTCAGTGGAGGAAGATTGACAGAGTCGGATTGAGAGGGAGACTGTAAAAACAAATGGGATGGCCCTGCCGGGGCAGATTGGTGAGCTGGAATGGAATGGAGTATGTTGCTAGAATCAGAGGGCTGGGGAGAGGTAAGAGGGTAAGGCAAGTGGAGCTACTCCTAGGATGGGAGAATGGAAGCGAGAGAAGAGGACCAAGACTATTTGGCTCCCTTCCAGCTGCTGATGGAATATGGAGTGCACCCAGGATCTGTGGAGCACCCACAGCAGATGCCAGGTGCCATTGAAGGATAGCTCCTCTTTAATCCCCACAAGCCCCAGAGGTGGTTCTATTATTATGACTCACTTTGCAGATGAGGACGCAGATGAGTCTCTGGAACAAGGAGACTTTTCTTGGGCTGCAGCTAAATTAGTGGAAGCCCCATAATCAAACTGAGGTCTTCTAGGTCACCCGGCCCTTGCTCTTTCCACGGCTTCCCATGGCCTGAGCATCCTGAGCAGTGGTCCTCCATCCCAGGCCCCTGCTCCAGGCAGATCTGTTCCCCACATGCTGCCTGCACCCAAGGTCAGAGCCCCACCTTGCTCTTCCATCTGGGCACCCTGAAACTCCCTCAGGCTCCTGTGGACCTAGCAGCAAAGAACCCAGGCCCTCATCTGCCCCAAAGTCTTCAGTTTCCCCTCTGCTGAAGACACCAAGAAAACCACCCACAAGGAGCACGACTTCTCTGTCTTCTCACAGCTGTGTGCACTGATGGGGTCAAAGACCACAGAACATGCTGACTACACTTTGTAAAGCTTGCTGCCATTGAAGATGGGGATGCAAACCAACCCACAGCTGGAATTATCCCCCCCACCACCACTTTCACTGTAGTGAGTAAAGGGATGCAAATGTGGAAGCAGAGTGCCCTCTACTTGCCAGAAATACTGAGGAATATCTCCAGTGCAGGAAGAAGTCATTAAACCCACTGCCAGCCGATGGACAATCACTGCACATGACAGTGTCCCTGGAGAGGACGTGGAAAGGACCCAGTATGGAGGGCAGTTCTCATTCAGAGCAAGCAGTGAGGAGAGCAGGGAGAGAGGGCCAAGGGACACTGGGAAATGTGTCAGGGCCAGTCCTGGCCTCAAGACTAGTGAGCAGGGTGTTGCTAGAACCCTGTTGCATGAGTGTGAAGTAACAAGGGTCAGAGAGAGCTTTAGCACCAGAATCCTGACAGGGTCACAGAATGGTGCCATGGCTCCAGTTAATCCTGATGACCCGAAAAAACACGAAAGAGGAAACTTTTAGCCAAGTTACTAGGAATTCCACCATGGCCACGCAGATGACGCAACCTCCAGTCTGGCAAAGTGCCACTCTGAGAGGTCAAAATCTTTCCTCTGCTTTTGCACAGGGGCCACACCTCTGGGACAAGGGACAACTCCAATCTGGATAGAGATCTCACTTAGTCAAGAAAAATAACAGAGAAAGATAATTTGGTAACAATTTTGTAGTTCAAAAGACGAGCAATCTGAGAACCAGAGTACACTGCCCTCCAATAAACCAAGTTGCTACAAAAAAGAGAAAGGTTAGGCACATCCAGTACTCTGCTTCTCAGGAAAGATCAGCCAGTCATGAAAAAGAAGCACTTGAAGTCAAGAAAATATTTTTAGATGATGAAAAACCACAGTTACGTTTTCAAATGAGGCAGAAGCAGTTAATAGCAGGTTAAATGTTATTGGTCATGAATGAGAACATAAATATATGTTTAAGTGCGAGAGAATCCATCAGCAAGGGAAAAAAAACCTCGTCAATCATGTATCCTGTTGATTGGAAAATTAATATGAATAAATAACAATGGGAAGGACGTGCAATTGAAATAAGGTAGGGAGCAATTCAATTGAACATTGAATTGTTCTAATTGTTCGTGGTTAATTTAACAAAATGTGAGTGGTTAAAAAGCAGTTACCGGAATATAATAAAGAATAATTTGGAGCAGCAAAGAGGTAAAACATACTAAATTTCTCAACTGACAAAAGGGATTTACTAGATTACTTCATTTTTTAAAAATTGTTAGAAGAATGCTGACCCCATTACATATGAAATTGTGTTAGTCCATTTCAACACTTGAATTTAGGGGGGAGACAAACATTCAGTTCATAACAGTTGTGAGCCTAGAGATGATTTGTAAACATTTGAAGATAGTCTTAATTAAAAGACTATATAGATTCCAAATCATTAGATACAGCCGTGAAAAATGAATCAGTCGAAATCCAGCTGAAGTTCAGTAACAAGAGACCAACCTACCACCTTGCCTAAAATAACCCCAGAAAGGAAAAATACATATGAAACCATGATCCTCAGGAAAGACAGTGATCCCAGAGAGATGTAAAATACATGGAGTGAACCCGCTGGTTGTCCCAGGGTAGGGCCCTAAGAAAGTTTCTAGGTCATGGTGCAGGGAGGGCAAACCCAAGTGGAGCCTGGCAAATGCACTTAGTTAAAGAGATGGAGCTGAGAGTCCTCAGGGACCAAAATAGCTGGAGGTTGCTGGATAGAATACCAGGAAAGGAAAGAGTGCATTTTGACAAGACTCAAGATGCACAGAAGTTTCGCTTGCAGTCTTAGCAGAATACCAGTCAGCCTCTGTATGTGAGGAAATGATACACAGCCAAGGAAATAAAAACCTGAAAGGATCAGAAGTGGTGGCCAGTACCAACACAGGGTCAGGAAGAGAGCCTCTCGCTCTTTCTCAGACAGGAAAAACCTCATGTTCATATGGATAGAGTACACAGAAGGGCACTGGGTCTCAGGAGTGGGGATTAATTAGTCCTAGAAGAAAAGCAGCTTTGCTCCTGTCTAGGAAAGAGTACAGAATTATCTAGCACCCAACAAGAAAAATTCATACTGTCTGACATCTAATAAAATTACCAGACAGACATAAGAGACATGAAAACAAGACTTATAAAGAAGGGGAAAAAAGCAAACCATCGTATAACTCAGATGTTAGAATCATCAGACAAGATATGATAGCTATTTTCCAAAAGGTTAAGACACAGAAGGTATCAAAAAAGACACAAAATTCCTAGAGATGAAAACTTACATGTGAGATGAAAAATCTCACTGGGATTTATAGCAGATTAGATGTTGAAGAAAAGATTAGTGAACTTGAAGACACAGCAATAGAAACTACCTAAAATGAAACAGAAAGAGGATTTTAAATACTGAACAGCAGTGGGCTGTTGGACAATAGCAAGCAACCTATTAGAGTTGTGCATGGAGTTGCTGGAATAGAGGAGGGGAAGGTAGAAAAATGATTTAAAGAAATAGTGGCCAACATTTCCAGCAAATGCTATAAAAAAACCAATCCACTGATTTCCCAAGAAGCTCAATGAATCACAAGTGCAAAGGCCACGCAGAAAACTACAATAAGGTGCATCATAAATAAATTTCTCTTAGCCAGTGATAATAAGGAAATATTTAAAGCTGAATATTTAAAACCAAAAAAGGAGGCAGTATATACAGAGGAACAAAGATAACACACAATTTCTTGTTGGAGACAATGATAACGCAAGTGAAAAAACAGTGGTATAACATCAGTGGATAACATCTTCAGTGCTTTTAGCAAACTATAATTTAATGCCCAGTGAAATATCATTTTTTTCCAATGAAGATGAGCTAATGGGGGCATGAAAAAATAGACAAAGCACAATTATAGATGAGATCTTAATATACCTCTCTTCCCCTCACAATCAAGTAGACAAATATATGTGTGTACAAATATATGTGTGCACACACGCACCCACAGGATTTGAATAATGTGGACAAAAATATAACTTATAAGCAGAGTTCCCTTTCCTTTCAAGTAGCCATGAGATAATTACCAAATCCCATCAGGACAAGAGTTAATAACTTTGCCTTGCCACCCACCCCATATCCAAGGTTGGTCCTCTTCCACTGCCATACCAAAGATGGCCACTAGAGGGCAAGAGTTCCCTTCTCTGTTACCACTTTGCAGAAAGTCCCAAGAAAGACTTCCAGAATTTTTTAAAAAATAGTTTCTATTTGTTCTTTTTAGATATACACGACAGTAGGATGTATTTCAACATATTATACATACATGGAGTATAACTTATTCTAATTAGGATCCCATTCTTGTGGTCCTCCGTGATGTATTTTCATACAAACATATGAAATTATGTCCGATTCATTCTGCCATCTTAGACTTCTTCCATTTGGGGTCTGGTAGGCCCTAGCAGTGCTCTCATTAACACTGGTCCCTTTTTGTCACCAGCAATGGGATTATGAATGAGCAGTGAGCTTCCTTACTCATCCAAATCTTCAGAACCTCTCTGAGGACCGTGTCCGAACAGCTCTAACATTATCTAATATCTAGCACTCTGCCTGGCTTTTAAGTCCCCAACTTTTGGGCAGCTCTGGATGGTCCCAGCTTATCTCAGTAAGTTCTCATGGCCAAGATACCATATAGGAGACTCCAGAGCCACACTGGAGTGAATCCTGTCTCTGAGACTCATGAACTCTATGCCCTTAGGTAAGTTACTTAAGCTGCAATCAATCCCTTGTCTGTAAGATGGAGAAATAACCAATATGGGGGGATCAGAATCTGGTAACTATTTTTTAAAAATTATTTTAAGTTTTTATTATTCCCTGGGAGACACCATAAAGACCTCACTATTTAGGACATCTACAGGTTGGCTTCTACTGTCTTAAAATTAATGCATGTGCATACACATTTGAAGACCCCCCCCACACACACACAAAAAAAAAAAACGCACTCAT